AAAACTATAATCATTAAAATTCATCATACAATAACAACACTAATTAACAAGTTGTTTGTTTTTTATTTTTATTGGTCATCGTTTATTAAATTATATAATTATCAATAATTAACCTCAACTAATTACAATCACTCTAAAAATTTATATTCAACATTCAAAATTTTTTTTCTTCCTAAATTAAATTAGATAATTATAAATAATTTATCTCAACTATTTTATAGCCCTCTAAATATTTCTTTTGGATAACTAATTTTCTTATTTTATTAAAAATTAGATTATTTATTTAAAATAATTTAATCTCATTTCATAAGAAACACTGTAATAATAATTTAATCTCATATTATTGTAACTAATTTATTGTTTCATCATAAATTAAATTATATAAATAAAATTTTTTATTCAAAACTATTTAATATCAATTATATTTTTGGGTTGCAATTATTTATATAGTCAAATATTTACTACTATAATTTTAATATAAATTATTGTGTACTATAATTTTATATTAATATAAATTAAAATCAGAATTTATGTTATAAGTTTTATACACTATTTTATAATTATTTTTTATTTTCCTATTCTAAATTTTATTCAACTATTTATTATTGTATTTAATTTTTTTAAATTAATTTTTAGTTGTTTTTAAATTTATACATTAAATTACTATAATAATTCTACATGCAACTTTAGTTTTTATTTTAAATATTACTAGAAATATTTAATTTTACAAAATTGTGGTTATTATTTAATTTTTATAAAATAAACAAAATTATTTCAATTACATTTTTAATCTAAATATTTCTTTAAATTTTTTTTACAGCCTAAAAATTTAATTTAGTTATAAAATTTCTATTTTTAATATTATTTTTACTATAAAAGTTTTGTTCACAATAAAATTTTTTATTACATTACAAATATTTTTATTTATAAAAAATAAGAAAAATATAAAAATAAATTATATAAAAATGAAAAAAACTGGTAGATTTTTGACTCCGAAGTGGTAATTTTTGACGTCGGAGGTAGCGATTTTCGGCGACAGAGGGCTCCTATTGACACCAGCCAATTGTCTAGATAGCGACAACGTTTCTCCGGCGACCTCTAGCTAGCTTTCTTCTCCATTCACGGTTAACTGTGCAGTTCTCTCAACCTCCTCAACCTTTCAGTCCAAAAACACTTTCAATCGCTGCAAACCAAGCAGATATGTACACGATTCTGCAATGGATTACCAATCTCACTCACGAATCATGCTTAAACGGTAACAAAATACCCACCTAGATCGCTGAACGGAAAAAATGGAGGAACTGCATAATTGAAATAGTGGAGGGGAGAAGGGAAGAGGGAGGTGCAGGGTCCGTCGCTCCGCCGACATATGGGCTAATCAAGTATTTTTGTCCCTGCGTGAGACGAAATCACCTTTTCATCTTACTCATGAACAAAACTACGTCATTGGCCCACGTGTCACGGAGCGGGAAAGGGTAATTCAAATTTTATGCATTTCGTCCAAATTTAGGGTGAAACCATTAAATAAAAAAAATTAAAAATTGATTTTGTCTAGTTTAATACGAAATAGATACTTACATGGCAAAAATTTGTCCCAGACAGGGAATAACTTTTTATTTTATTTTATTTTGGTAATTATTTTTAAAATTAATATTATTTAAATCATTGTCCCGTTTGAACATTCTTTTAAATTTTTCTGCAAAAATCAGACGTTTTTCTGTCATAAACTATCTACTATTGCTATAAATATGCTTTTTGATGTCTAATCCTTTATGTTACCTTTTATGGCATAAATACACCAACGTTGGTAAAAAATTCATGATTGGGTTTTAGTAGATCATAAAAATGAATTTTTGCAAATTTTTAAGAGATTTATGATTTTGATGTAGTTAGAACTTATTTTTACGTTATTTTTATTTTAGTAAATTCTAAAAATTATGAAAAAAATTTCAGAAGGTCAACATGCATGATTTTATTATTCTGGATATTTTGGATTTATTATGAATTTATATAATATTTTGAATACATTTTTGAAGATTTTGGATAAAAGAGTTAAAGAAAAATGATTTTAAAATGGAAAATAATTAAGAAATGAATTTTTTAACTCAAAGACACTTTTGGGACCTTTGGAGTATGAGAAGAGATGAAATTGACTAAGTTATTGAATTGAATTTAAAAGATTAGACCTTTAAATAAGAAAATATCATGATTTGATCATAAATAGACTTCAAAATTTAAAATGATTAATCATGAATGGTAGGACCAAAGAAATATTTTTGACCATATTAATCCTTGAACAATGACTTAGAGGCAAGGGAAAAATATGCTCGACAACCTTATAATCATCAAGTTTTGGTAAAAGGAAATTTTTGCAAATAAACTAAAGTTTAGAGACTAAACTGCAATTCTATAAATTATAAGGACTATTTTGCAAAAATTTACAGAATTATCTTTTTTAGATATCAGATTGTATTAGGAGTAGTTTCTCTTTGGTTTTACTAAAATTTGATTTAAATTGAATTGATTATGATTTTTAAACTAAGTTGTCGATAGATAAAAGGAACTATATGACTTGGAGAGAAAAATTTTGTCATGTGCAAGGCTCTAGAAGTGTTTGATGTGGCTATTAATGTAACCTCAAGAAGTGAATATCCCAATGCTAACTTGTATCTTGCATAAGTTTGAAGGTGAAGCAAGTTATTGATAATGTAATGGATGATATATATTACTCTATAAGAGAAATGATAGCTCCAACGAAAGCAAAGTTTGATAAATATTGGAGGAGTGTAATCTGCTAATGGTTATTGTTAGTGTCTTAGGTCCCAAGTTGCAACTTTCATATTGTTGACATATGTTTTTCCTTGATTTAGAAATCTACAGAAGTTGCTCAATAGAATATATAGAAGGTTTGAAATTCATTGGACGAATTATACGATGAGTATGTGTCTTTTAGTTTGAAGGAATCATCCCTTTCAGAAGTCAATAATGTTGGCAACAATTCTTCATCTTCTACCCAACCTAAATCTTTGAAGGTCACTGGGTTGAGCAAATTAGGAGCATTGTGCGTGAAAAGGAAGCAATTTCGCTAATAAAATCTGAATTACAAGCTTATCTAGATAAGGATGTTTATATTTCTTATGGAGATGGTAGCTCCTTTGGTATCTTGGATTGGTGGAGGAACAATAGTATGAAATATAAGATTTTATCAAAGATAGTTATTGATATATTGGCTATTCCTATTCAACTATGGCATCAAAGTCTATCTTTAGTACTTGAGGTAGAGTTATTGATAAATATCATTTTAAATTGAGTGAAAAATCAATTAAAACACTATTTTATAGTGGGATTGACTTCGTTATAAATATGATTTAAAAAAAAATCAAAGATAAAAACTTCTAATTCTTATATTTTTTTTCCTTATATGTGTAAGCATTTTTCAATACAAGATTTAATGTCTTTTTTCCAACTTATGTTGTTTTGGATGTATTTTAGTTAAATAACTATATAATATTGTTAAATTTATTAAGTTTGCATTAGACTTATTGGTTATTGTTTGATGTTTGGTTAGAGGTCGGAGACCTATTGTTGAATTTATTTAGTTTGTAATTCATAAAATCTATTAGCTCATGAGTCTATTATTGACATTTTTAGAAATAAGTCTATTAGCTCATATATTTATAATTGGCCTTTATAGATATTAGCTTATAAGTCTATTAACTTTTTTTTAGATATAGACTTTAGTCTATTTCAAATACCTATATGTATAACAGCCATTAAATAGACTAATAAATTATGACAAGTTTAAAAAATTAATTTATAATAGGCTAGAGGCCAGACTTGAGCTACGAAAATAACATATAGGCCAAAATTAGGTCATGTAAAGTCTGGCTCTAAGCTTGATCTAGTCAGATCTACTTTTATCCCTAATAAGGGAGAATAAAAAAAAAGAAAAATGAATAATTAAAAAAATTTAAAAATAAAAAATAAAATACTTAGTATGTGACAATCTAAGAGACTATAATACATGATAGATGATAATCTCATATAAATAAAAATATATATTATTACCATATATGATATTATTTTTATTATATAATCAATTATATATTATTTTAGTATTTTATTATTAATTTAAAAACAATGTATAAATTTAAGATTAAAATATTTAATAAAAATAAAAAAATTAAAGTGATAATTTTAAAATTTTAGAAAATAAATTACTCAATACTTAATATCTCAAGAATTACAATGAGAGTTTAATTATATGAAAATTAATGAAACATCAATAAAACTTAAAATTTGGAATTTTGTGACGCAATCCGCAAAGTAGAGTTGTTACAGCAACAAGACAGTTTACCGAATCTTCTGAATTATGTGTTCTATCATGTCGACAAGTATGAGAGTATGATAATACTTCTACACCAAAAACAAAAGTATGGTAATACTTATTGAAAATTTTCATATATATAATAAAAGTAAGAGGTTTAGTATGATAATACTCCCCCAAAAACATAAGTATGGTTATCGAAATTTTTCATTGAAATTCTTAGTTATAATACAACTTTAATAGTAAAACTATTTGTACATTATTATATGAGAGTATATTGTAAAAGAATATTTTAATGTGAATGAAATTTAAATTGAAAATAAATACAACCCATCGAGAGAAAATCCTCTAAAATTACGCTTTAATATTATTACTTAATTCAACGAGGCAGGGAAGTTCAACGTTATACTACTTCACTTAAACAAAGAACATACTCCAGTATAATATATGAGTGCATAATTAAAAATATCATAAAATAAATTTAATAAAAATTTGTTTAATTAATTAGTGTCCTTATTTTTTTTTTTGGGTTAAAAGGGTTAATGTTATTTTCATATATTTTATAGTCCATAAAATAAAAGTATAGAACATGCCAAAAACTAAAAGCCCATATGAAACCGAGCCCACATGACCCGTGTAGAGCAAGTTCCTTTGATGATCACGAAGACAGACGCCAACAGCAACGTTGTGTTGTTGACTGAAGAAGCCGATTGAATTCAATCCCATGAACACGAAGATGGGTTCTGCTCAAAATTGGTGAAGTGGGACACACCGAAGCAGTGGCAGATCTACCCTTTGAAATAAACAACGATGGAGGCTTTGCTGCAATTCGCGCCGATGCAGAGCTCCGTCGATGAAGGCTTCTGGCACCGATTGTCTTCTTTGAAACTCAACAAGCTTGGCATTGATGATTCTCCAATACCCATATTTGGTTTTTCTCTTTACTTCAATCCTTACGCTTCAAAAGAGTTAACTTTTTTTTAACGTTTTAGGGATCAGTTTAAGAAACGATTTGCATAATTGCATTGTTAATTAATTTTTTCTACTTTTAAAACTGCAATGTGAACCATATTTGATGAATTATGCATTGGCTTCATTCATCTTAGAATGGTCTAACTTGATTGTAGGTTTCTATGCACCTTGCTCACACTCTCAAGTGTCAAATCATTTAACTGTTTTAGCCGAGTCTTTGCCTTCTGAATTGAGTGAGGCACCGTTAGTACCTGAACCTAGCCGTGGAAATAGGAATAGGTGCTTTGTTCCTGGGATACTTTACAACACTAATACTGTTGAAAGCTTTCATGGACTTTATAAGAATAACCTGTTGAAGAAAGAGGCAGCAAAGGTAGACCATTTGATTCATATAGATACATGAGAAGATAATTGGATTGAAAATTTTTGGTCTCACACGAGTTTACCTTTTGTTGTTGTTAAATTAGATATGGGATGACATTCTAACTGGAAAAGCTGTGGAGGACTGTTCAGTGCTTTCGAGATTCGTTCTTATTTCATTTGCGGACCTGAAAAAGTGGAGTTTCAACTACTGGTTTGCTTTCCCAGCTCTGATGCTTGATCCTCCTGCAACTGTGGTTAATCTAAAGCCAGCTTCTCAGTGGTTCAGCGTAGCTGAGGTGCTTTGAGTTTTGTTATTCTCAATGCATGTTGTTTTAGAGTATACCATTATTTTCGTTTTTAACATTATTTGTATTGTGGGATACCAGGCTGAATCCCTCTCTGCAGCCTGTAACGAGTGGCGTAGCTCAAAATCAACAACAGGTATATGGAAGTAATCTCATTGATCTGTTCTGTTGCTTCCTTTTAACTTGGCCTGCTTTATCTAATTAAAAAGAATACATGGCAGATGTTCCATTCTTTTTAGTCACTATAGACCCAAATTCACGGGCTACTGTTAGGCTTCTGAAGGACTGGGAAGTTTGTCAGAGCGATGCTCACAAGGTATTAATCTAACTCTGGTTATGATTATTATATGTAGTATTTGTGAAATTGCTTTTTTGAATGTGAAACTACAGATGTCTTTATGAAATTTACCAGATTCTATTGGCAGATCCTTTTTGGATTTTATGACCCATGTCATCTTCGAAATAATCCTGGATGGCCTCTACGCAACTTGTTAGCACTTATTTCTGCAAGGTGGAATCTCAAGTCTGTTCAATTTTTCTGCTACAGAGAGAACCGTGGTTTTGCAGACATGAGTTTGTCCCTTGTTGGTGAAGCATTAATAACAGTTCCACCAGGTAGAGCTGCATTAATTGTGTAACAGCTTATTGATATATCTTTCTGTTTGTTTGTTGGATTTTTTAACTTTGAAGGAGTAACTTTATAGAATGGAAAGACACTGTGCCTAGTGCTGTTGGATGGGAACTAAATAAGGGGAGAAAAGCACCTAGGTGTATAAGCCTTGCACAGTCCATGGACCCAACCAGGTTTATTGCATTCGTTTTTTTTCTCTCGTCTTGCTTTCTCTCTCACCCTCTCCCTCTCTCCCTCCTGTGGTGCTACTTATTTTGTCAACATTTCTGTTATTTTGAACGATCATTTTTAATTTTTCTTTTCAGGTTGGCAGTATCTGCTGCAGATTTGAATTTAAAGCTTATGAGGTGGCGTGCTTTGCCTTCTCTAAACTTGAATGCCTTATCTTCAATGAAGTGTCTTCTCCTCGGAGCTGGCACACTTGGATGCCAGGTTGCGCGCATGCTTATGGTGAGAATTGAGAAAATCCTATTGTTATTTTAATTCTTCAATTTATGATAACTGATAAAACTTGTGCTTTTGTAGGCATGGGGTGTCCGAAAAATTACTCTGCTTGACAATGGCAGGGTGGCTATGTCTAACCCATTGAGGCAGTCTCTTTACACTTTGGATGACTGTCTTAATGGTGGTGAATTTAAAGCTACAGCAGCAGTTGAAAGTCTTAAACGCATATTTCCAGCAGTGGTAAATGATTAATCCTAAGACTTTACTTGATGCTAAATCCAATAATCACAATTTTCACATAGCTGCATGATTTTGTTCTTTTCCAGGAAGCAGAAGGCGTTGTTATGGCCATACCAATGCCTGGACATCCAGTACATAGCCAGGAACAGGATAGTGTGCTTGATGATTGTAGACGTTTGTGCAATTTGATTGATTCTCATGACTCAGTTTTTTTGCTGACAGATACAAGGGAAAGCCGATGGCTCCCAACACTTCTCTGTGCCAATACTAACAAGGTTGGTTAGTTTATTCTCATAAATGGCATATATGCCACTAATTATATCACCGCTTAAAACGTGATGCACATTCTAAACTGAAGCATATGTTATGATTGCTCTCCTTTGGGTATCTTTAACTGTCATGCTTACAAATTTATTCTTTCTCTATTTGCAGATTACCATTACTGCTGCACTAGGGTTTGATAGTTTCTTGGTTATGCGCCATGGAGCTGGTCCTTTCAGTCATACCCATAACTTGAATGCTGAAACTGATAATTCTTCATCTGCTGATATGCACATAAATGATGCAAATGGAAAGCATAGATTGGGCTGTTATTTCTGCAATGATGTTGTAGCACCAACTGATGTAATTTCTGTGCAGCCTTTTGTGTTATATTTGAACTAATGTAACCCACATAACTAATTCGTATTGGCTTTCTGCAGTCAACATCAAACCGCAGCTTGGACCAGCAATGTACTGTGACCCGACCAGGGCTGGCTCCTATTGCTTCAGCCCTTGCAGTTGAGCTTTTAGTATCAATTTTGCATCACCCTCAAGGGTAATTCAGCAAACATTGATTTTATGTGCAAGAATTATGAGGCATTACAATAGAGAGCCAAAGAAGTCCCATCTACTTTGCTTTATTTATCCAGCATGAAATTCAGATATTGACTATACCTTTTCAGGATATTTGCTGAAGGTGATATTAACAGTCGCACTGGAGCTACTGAGCAACCTCTTGGTATTTTACCTCATCAGATTCGTGGTTCCCTTTCTCAATTTTCTCAAATGACCCTTGTAGGTTACTCCTCCTCCAGCTGCACAGCCTGTAGCCACACAGTAAGTACTAAGTCTGCATGATAAATAGTGATTGCTATTTGATAATGCTTCTGCAATTAGTTAGCTTTGTATGCTTTCCATTGCCTGATGTACTTAGAAGTTTAGATACTGTGCTAACATGATTTAATATTTAACTTTTACCCAAAATTTGATTGTTAAATAAAACGCATAGTTGATTAATTATAGTTAATTAATTAAACTTAATGAATGTTCTCAAATTTCAACAAGCTTATATAGATTTAATGTAAAGTGGAGTATCATTAACATCAGTTAGGTCTAATCAGTAAAGAGTAAAAGAATATCTGTACAGAGAGGAAATAGTGGAATAAGGAATTGGAAAAAAGAATTAGGCAAACGGGGCAAGGATTTTGGGCTGTAATTATCAAAATTTTTATGTCCAACTAATGAGATATATTTATGATCCTATTTCTGCTACTGATTTGAATTAACAAACACTTGAAATAAATAAGCGCTATGTTGGAAATATAGCGACAAAATTTGCATGGAATATTGATCAGAGTTCTCTTCATCAGAAGTGTAGATATAATTTGTCTCATTTGGCCGGCCGATTGCAGCCTCATTTAATATATACGTGTGAGGATATGCTATTGGCCCCATTTGTGTCCATTTACACAGTCATAGCTACTGACCTTGTTAAACCTATCATTATCAATTTCTTATCTAATATAATCCCCTTTGTTTTGTAAAATTGCAACCATTCAGGTTGTATCAGAATATCGAAACCGAGAAATGGAGTTCATACTCCAAGCAATCAATCATCCTACCTACCTAGAGGATCTCACTGGACTGACAGAGTTGATGAAATCAGCCTCCTCATTCTCATTGGATTGGGACAAGGACATAGGTGATGAAGAGGACGATGACTGTGTTGAAATTTAACTATTAGTCAGTTGTACATAAACTAATTTATACGAAATGTTACTATGTCAACGGTTGCTTTGTTACCATACCTTATCAAATGTACAAAACCGATTTCCATGTAATTTATATTCATCCATCTCAGCAATTTGAATTTTTTGTGCATTTACTTAACCTTGTCCTTGCTGAGTAATTCGACTACTTTATGAAGAAAACCTATGTGAAATATGGGAAAGCTTTTAATAATGTTTACACTAGTCATGACAATGAACACCAACAGAAGTCCAGTTCAAGAAATCCAACTTTAATTGAGTTTATTTTCCTTAAAAATTTTAACATAACTGTAATAATTATTAAAAACAGGATTACAAGAAACTAGGCATTTTTTTTGGGACCAGGAAGAGGAATGCCCTCTAAGAAATATTTGACCAAAGAAAGAGCTCTTGCCGGTTGGTAACTTGGCACTTGATGCCCTGCTTCCCTAACTGTAGCTAATGTTAGGTCTCCATTGTACACTTGTGTATAGCCGCCAACCTGTCACACACACACAGGTTCCTATGAAAATGCAACCTAACATTCTATAAAGCATGATTATTCTTCTATTCAATTGTTGAGTTTTTGTCTTATATGAACAGGCAATTACATTATCTTACCATTTATTAACCAGAATTAAAAAACATAGGAAAACTAATAGGAACATTCAATGTGTAAGTAACTGTTTCTAAATTACCTCTCCACGGGTAAACCAAGGGTGCCAAACAGTTTTAATGGGAAGCTTCATCTTGTTAATCGAATACTTGGTTGAAGTAATAGGTACCCTTCCATCTGTGTCACCACTGTATCAAACAATAGATAAATAATCAGAATTTGTGAATATACACGTCCAAAATTATTAGAATTTAGAAGATATGGGAAAAGGCAAAGTTAATTGCAAGTTTCAACAAATACTAAATATAAAGAGAAAAATGAAGATTTTACCTGAAAATCCAAACCCTGAGGCTATTGTTGAGGAATTCATGTAAAAGTGGAAGAACTGTTGAAGAGCTATCAACCCACTTTGTAATGACATCGCTGCATGGTTCCCAGTCATATTTGAGGTTGGTAACATTGGCATGGAGAGCCTCTTGAACATCTTTTCTATTAAGATATGCATACACATAATACTCACTACATGGATCAGTGACAATCTGCAAAACAAATCAACATGGCATCAATTGTAGACTAGTTCATAGAGTCATGAGTTTTCTAAAATCTTTTAGACCAAATATTCCATAATTTAACAAATAAATAAATAAATAGACTGAAATTGAAGCTTACAGAGGTCTTTTTGGGCAGGACCGTGAGATTGGTGTTCTTGCATAGTGGAGCATAAATGTTGTATAAATCAATGTATTCAAGATCATTCCCAACTTCATTTTCAGCTGCATCGCACTCACTTGTCTGATTCTTTGATGAGTAATCACAAGATTTGTTGATATCATAAGCTGCTTGGTCTGAGATGATGGCATGGCTAGCAAGAAAATCATACATTCCTAGCGCGTCAGTTTCATCGTTGATCACTGCATTCCCAATCTGCACAACGTAAAAAAGACACATATTCTCATATGTTAGCTTTGTTCTATTCTTGTAATAAATTAAACATCAAACTACCATAAGAATCTCAGTCCTTTATAATTTGACTTGGTTTCTTTCTTCTTATTTTAATAAGATTTAAATTTAGAAGTGTCAATTATGCCTTCTCACTTTTTTTAAAAATGATAATTATCAATATTTTTGTTGTGTTAACAAAACACTAGCTTGTTACTCGTATAAGTAAAATATATTGAGTTATTTATTATATAATAAGTTTTTACTAAAAGTTACATAATTCAATAGAATTAATTGTATTGGACAATAAATATTACAATTTTTAATAAAAATTTTAATATATACAACTTCCTATATACATGGAAATTGATGGCATTCTTTATTTTTGTTTTGGACACCCCACATGATATTTTCAACCAATGCTATAGTTCCGTAAGTGAAACAATAAATCATAGATGGATTGTGGTATACATAAGAACAAAAAAACCATGGCTCGGTTCTCAATGACCAATCAACAATGTCTCACCACCTTGTCCACCCATGTTGGGACGGGGCTAAAGGGACCACTTATTTAACTAGCCCTTAGTCTAATAACAAAAAGAAAAATTGTTAACCTCATATATTTTTAATAAAAAGTATTCTTATTGAATCCTTAACTCTAAGTATTAAATTAACAAAATCTTAAAAAGAAATCCCTTACATCTGAAGAATCATGTCACTACTCACTAGTGACATTTCAATATGGCCTAAAATCAAAATGCCATCATCACAGACCATGGACCAGAATTCCATGATTTAAATTTAATAAGACAATCATGATTCATGAGCCATAAATTAACTAGACTTGGACCCACTAAAAGCCAAATTGGGTTGGTCCTGGCCCAAATAGGCTCGTGAACCCCAATTAAGCAGAAAAATCTTCCTTCACCATCATTAAAGGAACAAAAAAGTTGACCCAGAAAAAAGAAGTAATAGACAAAAGATATAATTAATGTAAGATGGCACCCATGATTCATATTTTAGAGCTAATCACACAAGTTACTAACAGTTTCTCTATTGCTATTTCTAATTGTAAAGCAAGGAGGAGAAGGGCACATACCAAGATTCCTTTGAGGTTGATGATTGCCTTATTTGCCATTTTGTTATGGTAGAGAATTGTATGTGCTAGTTGAGGCACATAATGGCCAGCATAGCTCTCTCCAGAAATATAGAAATCTCTGTTCTTATATTCTGGAAATCTCTCCAACCAATTCACCAAAAATAAATAATTATCTGCTGCTGTTTTCTTATCTCCATTGGTACCATAATCTGAAGATTTGTTTGAATAAGAAAACCCTACTCCAACAGGTGACTCCAGGAACAGAACATTTGCAACTTCAAAATCCAAATAAGCCATTAGTGAGATAACTTAAAACGATTAACTTTTTGTTATAGTAAAGGAAAATAGTTTCTTTAAAATATAAAATAAAAAAAAGAATTTGATTTTTTTATATTTACCATTGTTCCATGAATATCTATTTTTGTATAGTGTTTTGCCATCACTGTTTACTCTGAAAGGTCCAAGTTCTTGCATTGCTCCATAAGCAAGAGAGGAACATCCGGGACCTAAAAAGTGACATGATAATGTATTAACCACAAAACGCAATGATATACAATTAAATTAATCCATTTTCTTCTTGACTTTTTATTTTCATGCTTGCACACACAAAAGCATGGTGTTACCCTACCACCTAAACAACCACATGAGACTCGCATTGACAATAGAAAGTGTTGATCATTCACGCTAGTGAGCCATCTACATGCAACAGTTTAATTTGTTGGCACTGTGAGTTTGAATAAAGTATATTACCATGCCTAAAAAAGGACACTGTTCATTTTAAATTTCAAAGTAAAAATTGGATTTAATCACAAAGAATATTATATATATATATATATAAAGGATGGGGTCCACAATTAAAGATCTTACTAGTTGAGTTAGTTGACACTTTCGTCAAGCCAATGAATATATTTATGTTTCATTAAACAATTAAAGTACATAATTGATAGGTATAATTGTAAATTGTTTTCATGTTTTTGTTCTTCGTTATTTTTTAAAGGAGGGTTACAATAAATGCATAAATCCTCTAGATGCTTGGAATATGGGATTTGAACACCTGCTATCCCTTAAAACGCTGGGCTTATAATCAGTAGTAAGGCTTAAGAACTATTCTCTAATATAAATTAGTAAATAAAATAACTGACAGCTCACGTCTCTCACCAGATTCATATATTAAGAACTGTTCATTAAAAATTAACTTCTGTTCAGCTCATTAATTTAATCAGTTTAATTAAATTAATGTTTATATAACAACTCATCTAAGTATAAACAATACGCACCTCATGCAAAGCAATTAATTAAGAATCAGGCAAAAAAAATATAAGTTGATGCAAATAATTAAAAAAATTAACTTTTTTAGAGTATGGTTTGGAACTTGAGTTCTTACATGAGTTGCTAGAGAATAACTCATTAATTGGACTAAACATAGCTCTCCAATAATGCGGTTTTGAATAAAAAAACAGCGTACGGTTATAAGGTCATGCAAGTAGCATTGCTGGCACATTAGGTGTAATTATGATTTCTATTAATTGATGTTTCACTTTCAAGAAAATAAATAATTAGTTGGCAAGAAAAACAGATGAAATATTCATTGCTAAGGAAAAGGAAATAATGGACGGAAACGTCTTTATTAGATGTATTTAGAAAGCATTATAGGGCAGATTCTGTAGGATTTCCTATAGCCTATATTGGTTAACATGTTAGTGATGTCTCCTCTTAAAATAGAAGGAAGAAGGCAAAGAAACATTTACATGTGCATGAGAGTGGACACACTCTTAGACTAAACGAAAGTATCCCCACTACAAGGCTTTCAAATTAAACAACAAAAATAGCTTTCATGTTTGAGTGTGGAACACTTCAATGCATGAACAAGATGCAATTTCTTGGGTTTGCCTTGGCTATGTTGCTATTGAAAACAACAACAAATTAGATCTAATATAGTTGGTACTTGGTATTTACCTCCATTGAGCCAAAGAAGAAGTGGTAGTGTTTCTTTAGAATGTTGTGCTTCAACAAAGTAATAATAAAAGGCACGGCCATATAATTTATTCACAGTAACATACCCTCCATATTGAGCAAAATTCACAAGGGGTTGTCCTGGAAGCCTCTCAATTCTATCTTTCTCTTTGAGGCCCTCTTGAGAATAAACAATCTCATCATTAACAACCTCTTGTACCTCAAACTCACTCCTATCAATTTGTGAACTTCCCCTTAACTTGGACTTGTGTAGTTTATTAAGAGCTTGAACTTGTTTGTTTCCATGGATTTCAGCCACAAGGAGTGAAAGAATGAGAAAGGATAGAAGAACAGAACAACTTGCTCTGCCCATTGTATCTTTATGTGGAGAGCCTTAGAGAAAGAAAGTGGTAAATATATAGGAAATGGGTGAACAAAATGGTATGGTATGGGGCATATGAGGTATATAAGAATCCAAAACTAGCTAGCTGTGTTGGATCCCCATGACAACACCATATCATAGAAGGAGAGTATAAGTATAAAAATTTTGAAGTTGCAACAACCAAGAAGGGGTAAGATTGAGCAACCCAAAATTGATATGATAAGGATGTGGGCCAAATTGAACTTTTGAGAGTTGTTCATAGCAACCAATGGTGTTAGGCCACATGAGTGATTTTAAGGGTACTATTTCAATTAATAAATAATAACACAAGCTTGCAGGAGGATGAAATTGTATGACAAGACTTCAATTGCACAGCATAAATGTTTTAAAAAGAAAATTGCCTTTGGATACTTGGATATTTCTTTTTGTAATGTCCTCTAAAGCTAAATATGGCTTTGGGGGGAGGAGAAGAATTGGTTTTCTGGAAGAGAATGTCAAAAAAGAAACATAAGTGACAATAGGAAAAATCCATATTGGAAGAAATTATAATATTTTAAACTTTCTCCCCTGACTATAATGATAACTAATCAATTTCAGCATCGCTTTATTTATTATACTCAGAATTAGGATAATGATTGTGTGTATTTTTTTTGACTTTTCACTGTGTCATTCCAATTAGACTGCTTGTTTAATACTAATTGCATGAAATAATTGTGTAAATTATGGACACAACGAAGAGCGACTTAGAAAGGAGGGAAAAAGAAAGACTAAGGAAGCTTCATGTTGCTGAATCATTGACCATGCACGTGCGAAGTGAGCCCAATCAGGTGTTCCAAATACATAAAAGTCAACATTTAGTGAATTGTGATGCTTCATTGATGAACTTCTGAGCTCTTCTTTTTTCTATAATGATCATAGTTCAATTTAACAATTCAAGTAATTTTTATCTCCAAATCTTCATCATCTTGTGTATGCATAGAAATGAAAAGTATATTATACGAGACTCTTTTGTTGCACTCAAAAGTTAAATTAAATGAATAAAGCTTCTGAGGTTTAAATATAACTTGAAGCTAATTCAAGAGATCCTTTTATAAAATGGATTGATTGATGAGATTTTCATTTTGCAAGTATCATTTTTAAAGTTGGTAAGTGATTCCTTTAATTGAATTCATTGTCTTTGTTAGCTTCTCAAAGGGCATTTAACAAAGTTGAAAAGACAAACAAAAATGTGGCAGAGTCCTTCTTATTTATGTAAGTGAGTATATAGACAATTAGACATGAAGGGTGACAAAAAGATTATGTAATTTTGTATGCTGCGGATTTATATATGAATCCGGTAGGTACCTTCTTTTCCAATAACCATGATCCAACAAAAAATGCTTCATAAGATACTTTTGCTTTGCCGTGTATTGTTTTTCCTTATGCTTTAATTGAACCTACATTTTCTTATTCCAAGTCTTTGTTTCGAATAAATAAAGCTTTCAAATAGAAAAAAAGCAGCGATACCATACAAATTTATTTTTACTATGTGGAATAATCGTTTACTGTAAAAATTTTGGTCCCAAAATTACTTCGGATTTTTTTTACTGCTGCCTTATGAATTTCTTGCTCATTAATTTTAAGCATGCTATGTGGGTTTTTTTATTTTTTTATTATTTTTACATGGTATTTGAAAATAATATATATATTAAAATATGAAATTTTATAAAAAAATTAAAGAAATATAAAAACTTAAAAATGACCATTTAGTGCAAGTACTAAAATTCAAAGATAGAACAACCAAAAATTATATAAAAAATTAAAGCGTTAAAAATTATCATTAACGATTTTTTAAAAGAATATGAAAATTTTAAAATACCATGGCAATTTTTGGATCTAAGCATATAAAAAATCGTCGATCACAATTTTTAAATTTTTTTATTTTTTCATATATATTTTTTTAAAATTCATATTTTGATGATTTTTCTCATTTTTTTTTTCATATAAGAAAAAAGTGCCTGTTCTGTGAGTGTCTAGTTGGGAAAAAAGGCAAGTATGAGTTAATTATGAGCAATCAAAAGTAGCAATCGCCATCAATTGGCACATTAGACAGTTTGGAAGGTTCTCTTGATTGCTTTGTTAGTGAAATATTCCATGATAATAGCACACCTAACCAAGTTTATTAATGAGATAAAGACATTAATTATTTGTTTGCCAACAGGACCCTCGTGTTATTTGAATATACGATCTAATTTAGGTTGTAATTTTTTTTCTAGTTAATGGTAAGAGTTGGGATTAATTAATTGTACCTTCACATGTCGCGTTCCTCAAAATGCATGGATCTAATCACAAACATCTGAAACTTTATGTCAATGAAAACATCACAAGTAAAATCATGTTAGTAAATAGAATGGATCATTGAGCGCATGTCACGGGTCTCACTGGCTTAACAAGCATTCTCCTCCTTTAATTAACATAACCTCTGTTCAGAAAATAACCAAGACCTTAAGTAGGGTCACAAGCTACTCACCATCTCATAAACTTTTTAGACTTTAGCCAAAAATCATATTAAGATCTTTTAGTAATATATATTATTTACATATTTTTAAAACAAGATTAGCAATTGAAATTGTGTAATATAGTTTATAAACTATATCTTTTAATTGATAAAATAAACAAATTATTCTTATCGCTGTCTTTTTTTCAAATGAAAGTATATTACTATAATAGATAACTTGATTATAGTTATTATATAAAAATACTAGTTTTGTTGGAATCATTGAATTCAATAGTGAAATGTTAATAATAATTACCTTAAGTTGTGGTTAAAGGTTTTCTAAAATTCTATTTTTCAAAATTGATAATATTTTTTGTAAAAAAGAAAATCTTAACTCGATGTTAATCATATTATTTCTCTAAAATGCATATATACATGTGATATTAATTTTTTAGGTTCCAATAGAAGTAGGGTCCTTGACATAAATCTTGTTTGTCAACTAGCAGAGCTGAAGCTGTCCCTTGGAAATTATGTTTTGTTTTTTTAGGAAGACCATGGGTCAATTAGGGGCAGGGATTTGTCATTTTTTTATTAAACTTATAAATCAAAAGCCTAATTCTAGAGGGAGCAGTTTGAGCTAGTTTTCCAGACCCAAAAACAAAGCATTTTAAGTTAACCATATCACAAAAAGATTTCAAAGCCATGAAAATGAGAGAGAAATTCTAACAATGGAGGATCATTTTGGCAACTGTTTAAAGAATAATACCTATAAAAGTTTAAGATTATTTTATACTCAATAAAATTGAAAATGGGAAATAAATAAAAAGAAATTCATGGTTTTAAAAAATTGAGAAACTTTCCCCCTACTTTTTTGGGGTCAAGAAAAATTTTATACTTTGAAGGGGAACTTAAAGGCTTATGCGATGCTGTTTTGGGCTTCGTACTCTGATCCCTTTTGAACCCTTGTCTAATTTCTTTCACAACAATTGAACTTCAATCTTGGACCCAAAAATAAAATAAAATTATAGCCTTGGACTACTGAGATTTCTATTTCTTTTCTATAATGTCTCATAAGTTTTTTTTTTTTTCTTTTTCCAATCTCACATTAGTAGGCAACATGACATAATTTTCTAGCTCAAGGAATACAAATACTATTTTGTATATCTAAAACGACAATTGTTATATGGCAATTATTAATGTGTGTCATAATTTTGGACACGTCTTGTGTTGTCTTATCCCACCTTTAATATATATATATATAATTTTATTTTTTCCTTTTTGCAAAGAAAATTATTAAATCTTATAAAAAAAATTGTTGATATTTTATCAAATGATTTTTAAATGAAAAAATAAATATAAAATTTGCAATCTTTATCAACGTTTTTATGTATTAAATAATTCAAAGTTAACAATACTTGGACCCACACATATTTTGCTCTATTTTTTAATTGGTGTTGTAGGTGATATAACTCAGAGAAAACTAAATATAATGTATCATATATAAGTCTCGTTTGTTTTAAAATCTAGTAGACTTAATTTTTAATTATTAAAATGTGTTAAAATTATTCTTAATTATAAACTCTTTGTCAAACATATTTTTTCTATTAGAAAGTGTGAAATTAGCTTTTTAAACAATTAACAAAAAAATATACATGATTTGAGATGCTATCAAATAAAAAAAATGAGGTTTAAGATGTATACAATTTTAGTATAAGTCTAAAAACTTTTATACTTAATCTGAACTTTTCATTTAACTTAAATTTAATTGTCAGTAAAGTAATAAATTATAATCTGTTAGATTTAAGTTAAATAAAAAGTTCAGATTGAATATAAGAATTTTTAGACTTATACTAGTATAAAAAGATTCTACTCCTATATATATACAGAGAGAAAGAAGTGTTAGTTTTACAATAAATTTGTATAATGTTTTGCATAAAAAAAAAAGAAAATAAGAAAAACAATATATAAGTTATAATAATCGGATGATACGATAGAAAAAAAACAAAGATGAAAGGTGGTATTTTGTGAAAAATGTTACATGGATAATATACCTAATAATAAGAATTTTTATTATTTTCAAGTTGAAAAATTTTGAAAATAATAATTCAATAAACATATTTTGTATACTATTAAGTTGATTTAAATAAAAATGATTTTAAATAAATTGAAAAAATAAAATATAGATTGTTATTAAAATATATAAGAATTAATTTTGTAATACTTAAACATGTTAAACATCGAATAGCACCGAACACGTATTAAACATGAAATGTTTGGATTCATGTTGATCTCTTTAAAGTGAAAAAGTTATAAATTATTTATAAATGTTGTATACATATTTCTTTTACCAAAAACGGGACATTAAATGGTACCCACGTTTGGCTTTTATCGAGGGTTTGAAGTTGGCAACAACGAGAAGCAAGCGTGTTTATCCCATTCAACAACCACATCATATTACGTAAGAGCTGACTAAATAATTGAAAAACTCATCTCTTCCATTAATATGTATCATTTTTATTCAATTCTTTAGCATTGCCTAACAAATTTGGATCTGGTTTTTTCTAAAATTAATACCACTAATTCACATAAAAGAAAAAAAGATATCTTTATTATTAATGAGAAAAATAACATGCACGAATAAGTAAATAAATAATTTTTTTATTGTTGAGTTAGAGAATTTAAATATAAAATCACACATCACGTAAAATACTACGCTGTAATCTTAAAATTTAAAAATAATTAGTATATAAATTATTCTTTTTATAAATTTATAATTTGTCTATATCTCATTTTACGTGAGATTCAATTTAGTTTCTATTCTAATCGTCATACTTTTTTCTTTTAAATTGTTGACCACAAAATGTGCTTAAATTTTGATTAAAAATATCATTTTAAAGAATGAATTGATAGATGTTTAGAGTTAGATGCTTTACTATACAGTAGCATTCTTAATTCTTTTATTGATATTTATCAACGACTTTAAAATGTTTAACAATTGATAATTATAGATTACGGTGCTTGCTCAATGGCTTACAGCAACGTTGGTAGCAAATGATCTCGCTTCATTGTATTCTTTTTCCTCAAATCGATTCGTCAATGAATAACGTAATCTCTTAGTAGCGTTCATTTTAAGATAAATAGTTGCATTATTAAGAATAACGTGTTTAAAATATTACTGTAATAACATTATTTAGAGTAAATTGAAAGTTTGATTAAATTTTACAGCTTAGAATACTAATTGAGTATACAATAACTTCTAATATAATAAAACTTCTTCTTTTTCAAATTTTATTTCGCTATTTTTTTAAAAAAGTAAGGCTATGAACAATTTTTTTTTAATTTTTCAATCAGATCGAAGAAGTGACTATTGAGCACGGTAGAAAATTTTTCAGCTGATCTTATAATATTGAATTTGAATATCAATAAATATAATTACATTAAATACTCAAAGTGAGAGTTTTTTAATAAAATTGCGAATTATCAAAAACAAATTTTTAGCAAATTATGTAACCTCTAACTACTCCATTATTACATTAACTAAAAACATGTCATTGTTGGGTTTGCGTATCGAAGGATTTAAGGAAAAAAAAAGCCGAGTTTCCATTCCGCGGAGCTGAACACGGTTGTCGCTTGCATAGTTACATGTGACAAACATAGCTCATTGTCCTTATTTTGTGTCCCTCACACTTCACACGCTTCCATTGAACCTTTTCCTTGAAGCTCCATCCAAGTGGACCCAATTGCAATTGCAATTGCGCGTGTTTAACGCAAATGCCACTGTCACTGTCCCTGTCACTGTCACTGTCACTGTAATAGTGTGAAGGACTTTAATTGAAACCCATCTAAATTAACATTCTTATTATAATAATGATAAGAGAAGTTCAATAAGGTAACATACTCTCTCTCATGTCCTTGCCATACAAACAACTATCAGATGATTATAATATATTATAGAAATAATTGAAATCATTCGGATGATAGCATTTGACCGCCGCCAAATGCCCCTTGTTTACAAGTTTGATACAGCCACAAGTTATTGGATTCCCACTTTTCTCTTCTTAAAAATACTCCACCCATTCACACGCATCATATAAAGTTTATCTATTCACAGGTCATAACCAAACTTTCAAACCGTACTCTTTGAACTCTAGTTGCACACACACACACAAACACAAAGTTTACATATCAATCGTTTGTGTAATAATTGTCAATGGTACTTTTGGTACAGAAATTTGCAAAACTCTACAGCAAGCTGGAGAATCACCACCATCACACTCATCATGATTCTGAGGAATTATCAGTTTCCTTGCAGGATTTCCGATCTCAAGTTTCAAAATTCGTTGGCCAATTACGATTGGATTTGAAACCCGGATCAGAGACCCTTTCCTTGTCCTGGATTGAAAAGTGTTTTGGACTCTTATCCGTCATCAACAAGGCTTTTGCAAAGCTTGTTGTGGAAATTGATTATCCGATGAGTAGTTGGGAGGCTGATTCTATTGAAGGGTATCTCAGCTACAGTTTTTGTTTGTTGGAGCTTTTCAATTCCCTTTCGTCTTCTCTTTCTCATATTGGACAAGCTAGGCTTTCTTTGTCTCATGGATTGAACCTGTTGGAGAATTCATCCTCTTCGGCCAAAAAGCATCTGAAAGCAATTCAACCAGGTTGTTTCAGTACCAAGTTTGGTGAAGAATTTTGCACACAAGTTGATAAAGCAAGGTTTTTTTCTGGCAAAGAATGGGCTGTTAATGAAGCTGTGAAGGAAATGAAGAGTATTGGGTTTTGGGTATGTGGGATTCTGTTGACTGGTTTGCACAGTGATGGAAAGCCATACATGGAGCTAAAGAAAATGGCAAGTGGGTTTGATGGTTCTGCAGTTTTCCCTCTTGATTGCAAAATCGGTGAAGAGTTAATGAAGAAAAATCCTATCTTGAAGGAGGTGAAAGAGCTGAATGATGCTGTTGGTGATCTTGTTGTTGCTTCAGATGAAGTGAAGCATGGCATAGCCAAGGAAATGCAGACAAAGTTGCAAGTGTTGGAGAAGCTATCTGATGTTATAAAAGCAGAGGTGGATGATATGTTTAACAAGGTAATGACTCAGAGAACTGAGTTAATTGATTGTTTACGACTGAGGAAACAGCCATGAAAATCCGTTTCTTGATTGCTGTAGGTTCTGTAATGTTTCTATATTGTTTGATTCTCGTGAAGTCATGTAAATATCAAATACCCAGGATTTCTTTGCACAATAGTCTGTAATTGTTCAACATATATATCTGTAAGAATAGTCAAGAATATGAATCAAATGATTATAATTTCAATAGCTTATCTCATATTTTATTGCTTTAATCCCAAGATTTTTGTTTTTTCGGTTAAGACATTAAGCATGCCTTAAAGAAGCCCCAGACATAATGGACATTGGAGAGGAAGTGAGGGGTTTATTTTATTTTATTTTATTTTACCTTGATTTGAAAAGAAAACAATTTTAGTCAGGAAAAACTGTTTCAGGGAAAATGAGTTCCCTCCACATCCTTATTTCTCTCAGAAAAAAAAAAAACTCAAATATGCACCAATTTGGGTAAATAAATAAATATCCGGTGCACAATGAAACATAATTAAATTATTTAGTAACTACAGCCACAACATTAAATAGGAAACCTTTTTACTTGGGTGAGCATTTTGCCCTTACAAGTATCCATTGACATAAAAATGAAAAAACAACAGAAATGTAGAATTTGATTCTATCACTCAGCCTTGCATTCCAAATTCTGTTTCTAAATTTTCTAACTGATTACCGCAGTCACCATAGGCAATTGTAAATGATAAAGGTTAAAAAAAGACGTGAAGCATATTGAATTGAGACAATGATATAAGCCTAGGAGCATTTTAACGATGGTTTGGCATTTGGTTTATTAACTCGATGCGATAAGAAACCTCAAGCATGTTGGAATATGATTCGAAAACATCCAGAGTCAAACATATGACTAAGGTCAATCCGAGATGATCATTGAGGTAAGGACAACTAAGGACAATGCATACCACGTTTTGACATTTCTGATAAAATAACAATTTTTTTAGACACACCGTAACCATCATCCCTACTAACGAGAGACAATCTTATGCAAAACGGTTACAAGACCATGAAGCAAACAAATGAAACTAACTAACATCCATTTAATGGAGAATTTTTATGATTTAGGTTTGTAATCTACACACCATTAAACTCTTCCTCTCACCAAATTTTTACTAACTGAAGCAAAGAGTTTCTTGCATAAACACCAGCTAGAACCAGCTCTTGACCTAGCGTCACCATAAACCACCGCCTACACCCATCTTGGCAATCTAGTTCGCATCAGAGTGAAATGCAAAATCCATTCATGTAAAAGTAAAATATTTAGCATTTTTGAATTAATGTCAAGTATACTCAGAAGATAAATTCATTTTAACATTACAAATTATAATTTCTACTTTACTTGAAAAATAATAAACTCATTTGAACATAACAAATTATAGTTTCAGCGTCATGTTGAAACATGATTTAACATAATTTCATGCATTGTAAATCTTAACCGTTTATAATGCGGTGAAAATCGATTAACGGAAGCAAATTGTGTAATCAAACAGGCTCTTCATCCATGTGATATAATTGTTTCTTCTACAAGAAACATTGCAAATTAAAAAAGAGTTACTACTTTTTTCAAAATTTGATAGCGTAAGAAACTCATGGGTTCTACGGTTAACCATGCTATAAGCATCTTTCTCATGATAACTAAAAAGGCAAGGTTGACAATTAAGAATTTCCCAGCTCAGTACACCAAAATTTAGTAAAACCCGTAAATCTGCAGCTTGCCAATATATCCTAAAAGAGGAGAGCCCAAATTCTACATTTATAATTTGGGGGCTTCATCTAGGATCCTATTTTTTCTCTGTTATCTAAACTGATACTGTGCATAACTACTACAACTGCACTAAATTAGTCTCAGGTTCTACTTTTCCCTGTTGAAACAAGAAAGTCAAAACTGGATCAGAGTAGAACCACATGACTCTCTGAATCATTAGAAAATGTTTCCTTCTCAGGTGCCTTACACTTGTGATGAACATCACTTGGCAACCTGCAAAACAAGAAACAAAAATATGAGACTCTACAACGGTTGGGAGAGTGAACATAGAAAAGGTTTCAAATCTTTCCATGCATATTACTCCTTTCAAATCATTCACATGTAGCCAACAAAATAATCACATAACAAAATGGTTTAAGAATGGAAGAACTGATGCAAGATAACTTGCATCATTTCAAGATATGACTACTGCAACATCATAAGCCACAGCAGTATTAAATCAATGTTGTATAAATCTGATTGAGACCATTTTTATCAAAATAATAATGAAAGTATGTATTTTTCCATGACATTCAACAAAATGATGACGTTTGCACGCAGCAAAACGGCACAACAGCAAGATTCTTAATGTAGTTTGGCACTAGGCATGGTACCCCAAATGCAATGTAGTGTCTGAATCTCCTTTCTCATTTGCACAGTTACTTGTCAAGTTGAGACATTTAACACTGTTATCCAAAATAGCATTCTTTCTTTCCATATGGTGATACTGAAGATAAGATGGGACTACACGTTCTGTTAGCGGAAACAAACATCGAAGCTCCTCAACCTGCAAAACATGATAGCCATAAACACAAAGTTTGAGTAATGAATACTAATCAAGTATAGAGATGTTGGAAGATCAGAATCGCATTAAAAAGAATATCATTTGCCTGTCTCCTCAAAGTTTCATTCTCCAACAAAGCTCTCTGCTCCTGAAAAGAATAAATCAAATAGTTAGTATTATAACAGAGAGATATTTCCCTATTCCTTGTTTCTAAGGAGAAATGAGTATATGGCAAGATTATTTTCTCCAACTGACAAAGATTTTGATTTTGCCCATACATATATAGTCACTACAGTCTTGTTCTTTAGCATTTTGATACAAGCACAACATTCCCTAATTGTGAAGCACCATATAAATTATCAAAGATGAAATTATATGTTTTTTGTTGACTTCTTACTAATAAGCAGATTCGGAAAATATATCTTGGTATTAATCAAACACTAAAAAAGTATGGGACATTAGCCCCTCATAGATCACCGGGAAAATCAATATACATAATCTTATTGATGTTGTAGACTTGCAAGGCATCATCACTCAATGAAGAAACTTCCAAGTTTTCATTCCTTGCACTTGCATTTACACGCATGACATATGGCAATGATCAAATTACTTACTGATATAGGAAATCATATGTTATTTCTGCATATAGAAAGAAAGATTAAGAAAAATATATATACTGGATTCTCTTTACGGAGTTATGCTAACCATTGCAAGGAACGTGACTTTTTATTTAGAAAATGCTGATTACAAAGTAAGCTTAAACTCAAAATATCAACAATTCTTTTTACTTATTTGTCCATTGCCTTTGGTTTGTGAGGTAACTATTCTAATTTTATGAAAGTTTGAATGCTAGCTACTGTCTACTGATTTCAATATACCTGTACTCTAGACTGCTCCAGCTGCTCCATAAGTAATTCCTCCTGAAAGAAGAAATGTAAAGGCTTTAGAGGTCAGGTATGTAGTTAAGAGCAGCAGCAGCAATCAACCATTAAATACATTATTCTGCTGGACTACAGGGAGAAAAAAGAAAAGAAAAATGAATATTCCTGAAAGATATGAAAAAAATGCAGAACAAGATAAATAATAGAGAATGGGAAAAGATAAATAAAATCTGAAGGACCTTCCTCTCCTTGACAGACAATAACCCTTCATTAAGTTGTTGCTCTAGATGTTGCAGCTCCTTTAAGCCCAATCCTGTCAGGTCCTTACCCAACAGCCGTCTGCAGTCACAAATGGAACACTCATTAGAGGTAATACTTACTGCAAAAAAACAAGAGGAAAGATTGAAAGAACACATACAATTGCTTTGCTTCTAGTTTTGCAACTTCATCTTTAAGAATCTCCACCATCTTAGAATCTTCCTTCTGAAGAAAAAAATTGTTACTAGACATAAACATCCAACAATGCAGAAATCACTAGTAAGTACCTAATGGATGTAACATTAGAAAAAACAGTTATGCTTGTGCAGGCAAGCAATTTTAATTAATAGCATCAACCAACATTGTTTAATGAAACAATACAAAAATCTTTTGCTGAATTTTCAATGGTATACTTTGTCTATTTGGATGAAACTTAAAGACTTAATGCATGTTTGGTTCGGCATCTATATGCTGTGGACAGGCATTTTTCTTTTTAAATCAACTAAGAGTAGCGTATGGATCCAAAACTTACATGTATGTAATACTAACTGGCATCTAAACACGCACTAAACTGAAACTTCATTGAATGTTATCTGGCTAAAGGAGTATGGTAAGTACCTCTGTCTTATATTCCACTACTGCTGCCTCTGAAGAATCAGTGCATTTGTTGTATCTTGCAAGTGTTCGCTTCATACTGCAAGAAGGATGCAAGTATAAAAAATTAGTGTGGTTAGAAGGAAATGGACATGTCTTCCAATGTTTGGAACTCATTTAAACACCCTGAAGCACACATAAAAGAATAACATTTTAATAAACAAATAAATAAATATGTATGGAAACACAAAGTTGGTCATCTTAATTATTAAATAATGCTATTCATTAACTAGTCAGTCTTGGTAATTAAAAAAGAACAACTTTTCAAAGCCATGCTTCAACTGTGGACAAGATATGGAAAGCACCCTTGCTTAAAAGGATATTAACCATGAAGAAAGGGAAGGACAACTATGGCTGAGTAATGTTGGCAAGGTAGAAGGGAATACAAACAAACACAGATTCCACAATGGATAATGGTTCAAAAAAGTTCAGTTGGAATTGAAAATAAATAAAAATAGATAAAAAAAAAAAAATACCATAGGCAACATCCACTCCTGTAAATAGATCACTTTCACTTTCACACAAAAGAAAATTCTAAAAACATGCACACAAAAACAGGTGTAAAATTGAGACTTCTTTGAAATAAAGTGAATTCTTGGAAATATCGAACGGCATTCGGAGAATCAAAATTCCAATGAACAAGATAAAAAATTATTCTTTTACATGCAACAATCAAACAGAGGGGACAAAATAAAACCAAGAGAAACATAGTTAATCAAATTGCATAAAATCAAACAGACATGCAACCATATGAGAAAACTCACACACCTTGAACTGGAAAACTCAAACATTTTCCCAGTGTTGGAGAAGATGATGACAGCAACCTCGGCATCACAGAGAATGGCAAGTTCTTGAGCCTTTTTCAATAACCCAGTTCGCCTCTTGGAGAATGTAACTTGCCTACTGTTAGCATTCTCTATCCTTTTGATCTCAATCTTCCCTCTACCCATTTCCTTTTTATCGTTTGGTCTCAGCAGATTCAGAATACCCAGAAACCCAAATCAAATGAAAAACCAATTTGTGATTGAATTGAGAGGTGTAGTTCTCTCTTACACAGTGTATGAGGTGTAAAGGTGGTGCCTTTTTCTTGTCAACTAGCAAGCAGCACCCACCCCATTTGGTGTTTGAAGAGAAGGACTTGGGAAAGAGAGCTGCTAAATTTAGCAGAGAAGATAAAGGGGTGTGTGTGAGAGAGCGTTTTACCCCAAATGGCGAGTGCCTGGAAACGGCAACTTTGCATGGCTATGTATCTTTTCTAGAGTTATGCATGACTCTTCTTTTCTTTTCTTTTTTTTTTTCTCCTCCCTCATTTAGAGTGTTTCAATGCCATTGGGCCTCATTGTGGGTCCCACCTTTGTTTTCTTTATTATCATTTGTTTTCCTTGCATAAAATAAGACTGAGAAATTATGATATGTGATAAATGATGAGATAGTAAAAGAAATTAATGGAAGAAATGATGGTTGAAAAATAAATGTAAAAAATTAATTTATATATATTAACAAGGAAAATATTTTTAAATTACCATTTAATTATTGATGGTGATGCCAGCAAAAATTATTGATTTTAATAATAATCAACTTAAAAGTTGTATTAATGGTGTATTCTAATTAATTGATTGATGATGTAAACTTTTTTATAATAATAATAATAAACTATAATTAAATTCTGAAAAACAAGTGTGAAAATATAGCAACTATTTTTATTGTATATATTTTTAATACTATTTTTTTAATCATTTTTTAGTAATGCACAATAAATAAATAATAATTATTAATAAAAATTACTATATAAAATTTATCATATATACATTGAAAATTTTGTTTTTTCATTATTTTGAAAAAAAAAACTAATATCAGTTCTTAGGATTAAAGTTATATACTAAAAATTAACATTAAATAGAGAGTTTAAGATAAATGTAGTTTTGTTTTCTGATTTGATGATGTTGCCGAAAATGGCAATCTATTTCAGCTAATTTAGAGTATTAGGCATTTGCTAATTTGGGGAAGGACAATGGCATTATGGACACTTTGCTTTTTTGGGGACTATAAGGTAAAGAGATTCCTCAGTGTTCAAAGTTCCCTAATGAGTATTAAGGTTGAAAAAGGTGGGGTCCTCGGAGTAAGCATACCCTTTTCCTTTTGTCTGATGCCACGTCAAATGGAAAAGAAGAGAGGGAAATAGAGGGAATTGGAGAAGTGGTGAGTCTTAGTTGTTGGCATGAGAAATGAGATATGGGGTGGATGGTCTTTGTCAAAATTTTCGAAATTTAGTTTCCAAATTTGGTGATATATGCCAAAAGTGAACTAAATGAAAGGAAGGAAGGAGACAGTTTCTTATAGTGATTGTCCTTTTGCCTTGTGTTCAAGTAGAGTGTGCATGCTTCTATCGCTTTCTTTCAACTTTAAAATCGATGACTTCGATGTTTTGTGGACTTATCTACTCTTTTCCTCTAAAAGAAACAAAAGTGAATCCTCCCCACTTTCACACACTCAGCTTAAGGATAATAAAACAAAAAACATATATTAAATATCTAAAAAAATTACTTATACTCTCTCTTCCTCTTTTCATAGGAAACAAAATAGAGTATTTAATATAAAATAAATTTGATATCCATTAATTGTTAAACTTTTTCTTATACCCTTCTTTTGATATAAGTATGTTTATGAGATAATGACTAAATTAGCATCTTTTAATAATATGTGTATTTTTATAATAATTTTTTTTAATTTTTTTATTAATTTTAATGATTTATTCTTTTATTTCTTATAAAAAATTAAAAAAAGTAATATATTATTTTATTTAATAGAAGAAAATAATTTTTTTTCTTTTTATTCATTGTTCTTAACAAAGAGTAAGTACTCATCTTTTGAAAAAAAAAATAAAATGCGAAACAACCAATCAAAATGGGAGAAAAATGCGACATTATAACTCTTTTACTTGCTGTTTTCAGGTATACTGTAAAGGGCGGTATCCTCCAAATGCAGTGTGAAGATAAAAACATTTGCATTTGGAAATTTTATCGGTAATTTGTAGTATGCATTTCCTTCCATTTAGAGTAAGATATTTGGTATGTATCATCTTTTTTTCAAATAATTTTTTTCTAAAATAAAAATAGTAAATACTGCTAAATAAAGAACATTTGTTTAGAAATAGACACTGTAAAAAATTTGTTGGAACATTTGTTTGTTTCTAATTTAGGGTGATCAACCTTTTCTTTCTATCATTTCTCATTTTTAAAAATATGATTTGATTAATCTTTATTTTTAGGACTGAATTTAAGAATTTAAAGGTAAATAATTTTTATTTTAAAACATATTTACTGCATTTTTATATGTCTAATATAATAAATATGTTTCTTTTTAACAAAAATTTACTATCTTTAATTATGAAATCTGATTAATAAAAGTGCTAAAAACACAACTCGTGAATTATCTGAGACACTTAAATACAGTTGACTTTCGGAGTGCTTATCTGCCACGCATTTTTGCCATCCAATCTCATAAATGTTTTTTCCTCATAAAAAATTACTTTTAATTATTTAATTTTAAAAAATAATACTAAGAAAATAATATATTTATCATAATACAAATTTAAATTTGTTATGAGAAGAGAGATGATATTTAGTATGTTAAAGTTGAGACACCGTATTTTTTATATAACGTGGTTGAAAATAGAACATTTAAAAATAAAGGAAGAATCATTCATAAATTTTTTATTTTAAAGTTACTTTCAAATTGTATGATGTTTAAATAAGAGAGTCCAAAACTTTGACTATGAGTATTAAAAAAGTTACTTTTGATTTATTAAATTAAAAGTATTTGAGAAAAATTAATGAAGTTTGGTAGAGTTATTAAATAGATGTGTTTTTTAAGAACGCTAATAAAAGTTTAATATTGTATTGCATGTATAAAAAAAATTTATTTTATTGTTTAAAATTCTCCTTTTAAGTATTTAATATTATAAATTAAATTAATACAATTTTTACCATTTTAAATTGATCCACGCATTCAATTTTAATGATTTTTATGTATGTAATGAAATAAGCTCCTACTATCAATTAGAGAATATTTGTTATATACACTGAAAAGTAAAATTTAGTAAATTATTTTTATAAATAAATTCTAATTTATTATAGACAAAATTGTAGTTTTTAGAAAATTATAATTATATAGTTTATTTATTTTATATTTTTATTAATTTTTCAAAAGATCAAATATTTGTTAAAAATTTAAATAAATCGTTTAATAAAATTAAATAATAGTAGATAAAATTTAAAAAAACGATGAAAAGAGAATAACAATAAAAATAAATTTACCTTTATTCATTAGTGTGTATTTTTTCTTTGAATAGCAATTATTAATTTTTAAAAAACTGTGTTGACAAATTACATATTCTTTACTTCTTCTTCTTTTTTTTTTTATGATAATTGAATGTATTCTTAAATCTGGGGTATCTTAACGGAAAATTTCAGTATTGAAGACTTTAAAAAATTTACGAGCTAATTAATTTGGTGAAGGTAAAAATAATTAGAAAAATCAAACAATAAGAACTTATTAAATCTGTAAAGACAAAAAAAAAAGGATAAAATTATAAGTAAAATAAATGTGCTAACTAAACACCATAATTTGATAAAACAAAATTATAATTAGCTTATTTAATATATCAAATCACATAAATATTCAATTTGCATGGAATTAAGACAAGTTGACAAATCACATAAATATTCTTTTTGTGTGTGCAGTGTTATTTTATTTGTTTATACTGTGATATATCCTTTGACAAACACAAACAGTAGTAGAAGAATAGAGTGCAGAGGTTTTGGCTATTTGGGGTTCTATTATTGGTGATTATTTCATTTCACTGTTAAAACGACGATGGCATCATAGAGAGTACTCAAAGACATTGCACATCAAAGAAACTGAAATTGCCAATCACGGGTCCTCATAACGTGCATGTGATCGGTGTTGAATGAAGATGATTTCAAGGAGAGTACTGAGATTGTGTCAGCATTCCTTGAGAGTAGCAAGCCAAGGAGAATCAAAATATTGACCTTGATTTCTCCCATCTTAACTTGGCACATGTTTGGTCAAAACCAAACATAATCTTAGTCGTCGTCGACAACAGCAAAAAGTTGTTTCAAAACCTCAAAAATGAGAAGAGGTGTTTGGTTACCTTAAATAATGGTCAATTCTTATAATGCTAGGACTATATCAATATCCTTGATTCTCTCACATAAGATTATGAGCATTTGTCACTCTAGAGTCCTTTTAAATTAGAGAACTTATTTTAATATTAATGATACGAATACCATTTAAGTAGTTTTGTAATTCGGTGAAATTGTCTTAGTCAAAATTTCAATTGGTAAAGGATGTAATTTTATTTAATTTGCTAATATTTTAATATTATTTTTTCATATAAATTATTCTTTAACTTAGATTAGGTAAGATCCTATTATTTTTTAATATGACTACTTTTTTTGTTTTAAAAAAAATGAAATGATATGACAATTATGATGTATTTTATAGATTCAAAATTTGCTTAAGATACATTTTATAGACTATAGAAAGAAAACATAATGAAAATGATAAAAAATACTTACTTGATGAGGTTGTATTGTATATTTTTTTTAAAAATAAAGAGTTTCAGTTATTAATACATGTGTTGGAAAGGAAGGGACATTTTTTATATATAAATTAATGTTAGTATTTACATTTATGAGATCAAAATTTGATTTTAATTAAAATTTGATAATAGTGTGAAGACTTTTACATTATTATATATTCATGAATTCTCATAGAAAGAATCATTAATTTTTGTAATAATTAATTTAAAAAGTATACTTATAGTATATTTTAACAATATAAAAAATTTTACACTAGCAATGCATCAAAATTAAAGTTAAAATATTATACAAAAGTGTATTAATTATGTTAGAAGAGTTAATAAATACTACTCTATCATTCTAGATTTTCTTTTAAATTGTCATAATTGTTTTTAAACTATAATTTTTCATTTGTAAATTGTTTTATTTAAAAAAAAGTTATATCATTCACAAATTTATGATTTGATGGATGATCTGACTAAGGGTAGGAGCATTGTTTTATTTCAACACTTTCTAACAAAAAGAGACTAGCTTTAGCAGTTATCATCGCCATTTGATCACAAATGCTCCATTTAATAGATAGGTTCTTCCAAGGGTCTTATTTGCACATTTCACATCATTGGGTGGAAGAAAAACCAGCCAAAATTGATTTTTCCGAAGTGATAACAAAGTTACTTGAAGAATTCAATGCCTGTAAAGCTTAAACGTTTGATTTGATAAGAAAGAGGAGTTGAGTTGTCCAGCATTCCTTACTCTTGCGAAAAAAGCAGAAGCCACTTTAACATCTGTTTATCCAATCCAATACTTACTGCTTATATGTTCTGCTCATGCACATAGCAATGCAAACAACCACAGCATTAAGCACCACATTTATAGCAGTGTGAATGGAGAAATGAAAACTGAGGCATTTGAAATGAGTGTCACTCTATACGTGTAACAAGAATGCTTGCTTGCACTTTCTTTCCAAAAGTAATTCAGCTTATTGGCCCAATCCTCAATCTCCTCAGGAAACTGGGAACCAGTGAACAAAGTTTCCTCGTAGTGAGATGTAAGGAAGGTAGATTTGAACATGTCATCTCTGGGTCACAAAACAACCTCGGTATACTAAAGCTCACCTCAATCTCCCAAGGGAAAATATTTGTATAAAAAATCAGAGAATGCCAGTATAAAGAATTAGGACACGTAAGATGTGCAATCAGTAAACTTGGACCCGGGGAAGGAGGATTAGAATAAACCATAGCACGAAGTCCTTTTGGAAGTTTAGTAATGCATTTCCACAGCTAATGCTAGGATAAGCTACTTGTTCCCAACGGAAGATGAGAGAGGGATGGTTATGATAGAAGCATCTTAGAATTCAAGCTTGAGGTAAAGAAAAAGTTGTTTACGTGTTAAACAACTAACTCAGAAAAATAAACAGGCAAAACAATACAGCAATCAGTCAATTTGCCTGATTTCTTCATAGAATTTAATAATATCAATCATCTCTACAAGCTAACCATGTATAAGAATAAAATGCTATTACAAACAACCCATTGATAGTGGTAACTTGTCCCACGGGTACAGATGACAATGGCAACCACTTAACTGACTATGATGCACATCAAAGTTTGGGAAGAGGATAAATAATACCTTCATCAGCGCTTCAATGCAAGTCACTGCTATAAAACATCAGCTGTTAATTGGTATGTAGATATTTTGTCTATTTCTGTTTCATTTATCTTTCTACAAACATATATATAGTGAGAATCTGGATCTTCCAGGACCAAATCTGCGGGAAGTAAGCCCTTTTCAGTAAGAGGGATAGGCTCCATGTAAGATTTCCTCGGTGAAGTACTACTTTCAGGCTTCTGAAACCCTGGTCTTGCTGCAAGGATTTAGAGAATGAATGCATGAGGATAACACTGAATTAAAGCTCCACAACTATAGACGATAAGAATTTTCTGGTTTCTTTGTATAAATTCATGAAAGGGAGACTCTTATAAGAGAATCACCATAATCATAAGAAAGAAATGAATTTATCTAACGAGTGCACTACTTGTAAATCATCCAATTTCCGAATTATATCTGGCAATTAGGGTAAAAGTTGACAAAATTATTATATACCCTAAACGAAACACTAATCCTTTCCATAATCAATAGAATTATGCCATAAGTTGTTCTGATACTGATGATAGTTTAACATCATTCTCACCAACCTCTAATGAAAAGTTAGTTAGTTTGTGGTACAGATGCTTTCAAGAAAAGCACTATCTGGTAAAAAATTTTGATTTTCACCTTGATTTGTGCATCATAAAATAAACAACAGAATCAAACAAAATATTCTAATCCTCTTTTAGCATATATTATGCAACATCAAGAACAAAATAAGTTAAAAAGGACAATATTACACGGGGTCAGGAGATGTTATGCACATTTAATGATGAAGAAAAAGGCTTCTTTCCAGTTCAAGTGAAGACAAAAAGGGTAAAAACTTACGGATATTATACAATGTAATTTTCCAATTGAACACAGGTCTGCTTAGATGAGGCATCCTTACTGTTGGATCGCCATATGTAATCTGAAACAGGTGGCAATTAAATCACTAATCATATTCTCTAAACTTCCAGAATTGTTTACAGTACACTGACACAAAGGAAGCCTTATCCATGTAAATAAGATTACCAAAATATAACTCCCTCCAGGTTTTAGAAGTCTGCAAAGATGAAAATAGACATAATTAGTGAGAATTTTGAAATGAAAATGACTTTTAAATAATTTTGTGCAAAGCTCAAGAAATCTATTCTCATTAAAGTCTACACAACCTACAGACTTCTGCAAGCATCTGAGCAGCACTAATTGGAGTATCAGTACCACACTAAAGTACATCAAAGTAAATTTGGAGATTAGAGCATGCAGGCAAAAAAAATGGATAAATTATAAGAAAATTTGATGAAGCAGTTAACCACCATACCATCAACGAATCAAGAGTTCCTAGATCAAGCATCAACAAAGCACATGTGCAAATAAAAGAGTGAGAAACATCAGTACATGAATCATGAAGTATGTGCCTAATTATAAATTCCATTAATTTAGACAATATTTGTAAAGAATTGAACAAGTGTACCTTTATCAATTACACCGTCAAAAGATTCATCTGGAAAGAAGCTCATATCCCTGACGTCCATCTGCATGTCTATTAAGATTCATGAAGGAAACACACATAAGGAGTTTAGGCTTTCATAATTAGTTAAAAGATGAAACATCCTAAAATAAACGAAATAATGTTATTGATAAGATACATTTTAGCTGAGGGATGTACTCATATTTTCTTCTCATCATGTCAATTGCAACCGATGAAATATCAATATTCATGATGTCCTCATAACCATCTTTCACCATGTCCTCTGACATAACTGCAAAATACATCAGAATTCTCCTTTTAAGTTCCCCCAAAAAGTATGAACAGGATAAATTTCATTCCAGTAAATCAGCAGGCTATGAAGTCTACATACTCCAAAAATGGAAAAGTATTGGGTGTCGTATCTGTACCTGATACCAATACAAATATGATATGCATAAGAGAAAGATATGTAACTACGGGTTTTTTTTTTTTTTTGGTAATAATTACAATTACAGGTATGTTTTTGCAAATTGTGATTAACATACCCTACTATAGTCATGTATAATGACAAATGATCAACATCTCTTAACAAATATTGTTCTCATATGTAAAGTATTTTGTTTAATCCATGTCAACATATCTAGGCAATACTGTATCTTGAACTCAAATGAATCTCCTATATTCCCGTATCCGTGTCATGTTAAGTATTTGGGATGGATAGGCTGCTGAAGATAAGATATTGATGATAAGCCTATGATTTGCTCACATTTGATAAAGTGTTTCTAAAATTAAACTACACCTCCAATTTAAAATTAAGACAGCTTCACTTCAACCACACTTAATTATATGTACAAGTAAATGGAGAATGAGGACTCCATTTTTGGTTTAAATGGAAACCGAACCCAACACCACTACCCCAATCACATGAGCATGGAAAGAAGGCCAGGAAATTTCTTATAGGAAAAGGAATAGATCCACAAAAACTCCATTGGTTTGACCTGGTACAAGTACCTAAACTATTTCAGTTTTTTGTAACTACTTGTGCATCAGATTCCAATATCATCAACTTTTTTATTTTTGAACTTGTAACTCATCACAGTTGAATTTCAAATTTAAGAATAAAAATTTTCTGTTCCATTTAGAGAAGCAGGAAATAAATACAAGGAATTTCCACTTTAAATAAAAATAACAAAATAAAGCGCTAATGAGTAAAAAGGAACAGAAAGCTATCCCTTTCCACTCCAAAAAGGTATTATTCTCCTCAATTTTTTATTATTTTTTTAACAGGAAGAGTATTACAAGTCATAAGCAAGCAAACAGATGAAACAGATCCAAGTTTTCCAATCCTCCAAAAAAGAAAAACCCTAAAGCTGAGTTTGAGCATGGGAAGTTAGAGAACAGAGAAAAGAGGGAATTGAGATTGTATGAAAAGAAAAAGAAAAGAGGGTTACCAGCATTGCCACAACCAACCATGAGGACTCTGGAAGAAAGAGGGATTGAATTGCGAACAAAGGGGCTGAGAGCAGAGTAACGTTGGTACCAATCGAAGGAACCACCCTCTTGAATGTAGCGAGCGTCCCAGTACATAGCGTCGCCGTAGTTGTAAGTGTTGCAGCTAGACTCGTCTCTGTACATCTTTTTTCGCTTTTAACTGTGGTGGCGGTGGCGGGGGCAAGCGTGCGTGTGCGGTGACTGGTGTCTGGTGAAAGTGGAACTTCACGGTGGCGACGACACCAGATTTTCCGATTTTCACAATAATAATAATAATAATAATATTACTATTATTGGAAATTATAGAAATAAGCATAAAGAAATAGTGGAAAGTGTGAAGTTCACTCCTTCCCTTTTTGCGTGGGCCTGCGCGTGGGCCTTGTCTCTTATCCAGAGCTAACCTTTGCGAGAACAAACTCTGAGGAAAGATGGAGTGTGACTGTGTATGGATTGAAGTATATTCATGTTTCAATTTTTTCATCGTAATAACTGACCACAGACTGGGGGATGATTGTTTTTTCTAAAACAATATTGTCACTAAATCGAGTAAGAAACTTTTATTCACTCATAACTTGATTTTGAATATTTTGCAATCTGATTATTTATTTTATTTTATTTTCTACCTTATACGACATCATTGCAGGCTTTTATTTTTTTTTAATAAACTAGTAAACTTGTTTGATGAAAAAATAGTCTTTTTAAAAATTTGTGTGTAATATTTAAAAGTTAATTTATTAAAAAATTACTTTAATGAAGTAGCTTTTAAACTTATTGAAAGTTAATTTCTTAATTTATATTTTTTACTAACTTTTAAAATAATTTACACTATACTAAAATGATCTTAACATTGTTTTAGTAATTTAATATATTCTAATTAATTTTGTCAAATAACTATAATTTAATAATTAACTATAAATGTTTAGCTAATTTATTGACGAAAACTAATGATTTTAATAAATCAAATATTTATGAGAAAGGAGGATCGTGTCATGTGAATCATAATAATTTTCAACTAACCAATGCTAAAAAATTGGCGAGGATTTTAAGTTAATAAATGAATAGTTAATTGAATGACTAAAGTGTAAAACGGGACCATGCAATGAATTCATTCTTTAAAATAGTTAAGAAGTTTGTGGACTCACTTTGTTTTTAATGGTTTCTAAAATATAAAAAATAGATGTGTGATTGTTAAAAGTGAAGTTTCTTTTTATCAACTTTGTTAAAGTTAAAGTAAATGATAATCACATTCTTAACTTATATGTTTTTGTTTGTTTTGATATTATAAATTTATATTTTAAGACCAAATATTTAAAAAAAGGTTGAACATTTGGTTTGATGTTTATTACATAACAAAAATTAATGTCTCACATTATCCAAAAGATCCACAATGTTTTAAGATTACGGTACATTGGATTGTGCTATGCAACTTCAGTCCAATACTTTGACGCGCTTCCAAAGTTTATAAAATTACTTAACATCATTATATCAAGTAGGCAATATATCTCTTATTCTTATTTTATTAATATAGACACTAACTACACTGAACTCACGTCATGTGATGTATTTTGTTAACATATCTGAATTTTACTTCTCCTAGCACTTGAGTTTATACATTTTTAACGTTCTAATTTTAATCCCCAGATTCTCAATATAATTAATTATTTACGTTATTTTATATTATTTTGGCTTAGTTTAATACTTAACTATAACATATTTTCAATTTAATCAGTTACTTTATCAGTTTTTAGCATCTAAATTTCAATTTTTAGTAAATTTTTATTTTTAATTAGTTTTTTAATTTTTAAATAATTTTTTATTAATTTTATAATTTTTTCTAAACTACATGTATCATTTACTTAAAATAATTGTGTTTGAATTAGATAATACAATTGTAAATAATAAAGTTTTTTATAGTATTTAATTCAACTATATTTACTGAAACTTAAAGTACAAGTTAAGCAGAAAATTTTTTGTAGCAATTAATTAGTGTTCTTTTATAAAGTATATTTGACAAAATTAATAAATAAATATATAATTTTTAAAAATATAAGTTTGATTATATTTTTTATTCCTATAAATATTAAATATCTTGTGATAAGTTCTTATAAATTTTTTTCGTTAGGATTTAGTCTTTAAAAAGTTAAAAAATTTGAATTTAGTCTTTGTTATTAACTCTCATCTATTAAGTGTTGAGCTAATGTTAAGAGTTTAGTAATGTGTAATTTTTAGCCAGTTTTAATCTTTTTTTCTTCTTCTTTAACTTTTTATTTTTTTCTTTTTTTCCCAAATTTATTAGAATTTTAGTTTTTTATAAATTTTTCTTACCTTACTACTGTTTTGGGTAAAAATTGTTGTAGTTTGGATCTTGATTACAGGTTATTCAGTGCCAAGGTACAGACTTATATATGCTAAGGCACCACCTCAAGTGTGATAATGTGCTTTCAGGTTATCTTGTGCTAAGGCGTAAACTTGTGTATGCTAAGGCACTTATCACAATTAGCTAATGAAGTTGTAGAACTTTCAGCACCTAAACACAGACGTTTGTGCATCAAGACACAATCTTACGGGTATGGACAAAAATACATATTGTGTAAGATAAAATGGATTGTGAGGCACATTGTAAAAAGAAAAGTAGGATTTTTCACGGGAGGATCAAGGAGCAACTCTTCTAAACGTTTTGTAGTTAGGGTTGATAGATCTCTTTGGGATTGTGATGTAATTAGATTATTGACTCTAGTTTGAGCTTCTTTTGATGTTATCTTGTAAATTTGTTCTTAATGATTAGTATGAACTATTTACTCATGCTTTATTTTGATGAACCTTCTTGACAATGGAAAATAGGATGAGTGGTTGTTCTTCTTGATTTACTTGCCTCATCATTTAATTTTCTAGGAATAGAAATTATTGGGTGTGTGATCTTTTGGTTTCCTTGTGCTTTAAAACCTTAGACTTATACATTTAAAATTGAGGAATTAATCTTTGTGTATGGGTTCAAGAGAATTTGTATACTAAGGAATTGGATATAAATTAATTTAATAGAAACTTTTCTTAACATCTTAAGAAGAGCTTGAACTAGTAAGAGAGTTTAGTTTATCACATGAACAATGAGTGAAATCTAATCCTAACTATCTTGTCATTGAATTTTCTCATCTTATTTCAGATTTTGTTGTTTATTTACTTGGAAAGTGAATTAAATCAATTTATATTTTAGAGTCCCTTTCAATTTTAATCGCATTTAATTAGTTCAATTTAGTGAACCAATACGTGTTTGCATCAATCTCCGTAGAAACGATACTTTACTTGTACGATTCAAAGCACTTGCTGAAGGCGTTGTCAACTGACAAACGGAAAGCCAGCTTAGTACTGGCATGTGTCATGTCACGTCATTTATTTTATAATATTTTATTATTTAAAATAAATATTTACAAAAAAGTATTTAAATATATTTTACATATTTGCAAAGAAAGTCTTCTTCTTCCTCTTTAACTGACAGCTCCACCTCCCCCAACCTCTAACTGCCACCCCTTTCCCCAACCCCTCCATATCCACCTCCCTTCACCCCCTCTTTGAACCCCAAACTTCTCCCGTAATCCCTTTTCATCCACCTCCCCCCAAACCCCAAACCTCTCCAGTAACCCTTCCCTCACCCCTCACCCCCCCACCCCTCAACCACAAACCTCTCATGTAACTCTTTCCCCCTTCACCACCCCCACCTTCAACCCCAAACCTCTCTTGTAATCCTTCCACATCTCCCTACTCTTTCCCTCTCTCTCCCTCCCCTTCCCCCCAACCTCAGTCCCTTTCTTCCCACACACTCAACCATATTTCGCACTCCTAACTTCACATTTTTCATATCTGACATCTAATCTTACATTTTTCCTCACCTTGCAACTAACTCCATACTTTCTTTCATGAACGTGTTTGATGTGATATGAGTTTTGGTGGTAGGATTTGGGTTGGGAGGATGGGCAAGCATGATTAATTTTATACACAAAATTGACACATTTGAACTATTTGTAAACTGTTATCAGTGTTCCCTTGTGAGGCTTAATTAGCTTTTTTAGTTTCATATGATACTTTGAGATCATAAGTGTGTTTAAAGAGATTGGCTTTTGAACCTTTTTTCTTTATTTTTCTTATTTATTCCCTTTATTTTATTTTATTTTTACTGTAACAAGTCAAGTCTTTTGATGGTGTTAGCTAAAGGTGTGATGCAATCACCAATACCCCTTATATGAACTTACAGTTAGAATTTCATGTGCCGATTAATATTTTCTTGTTATGTAACTACCTTGCCATATGCTACACTTGCTTTTTGTTTGAGGAAGGGTTACAAGAGAGGGGTAGGGTTGGGATGATGTCTTTATTGGGAACAGGGACATAGAGACAAGGAATGATAGAAACACAATATGTAGTATCTATGTATTATGTTTGAATTGAGTATAAAATATTATGTATTGTGTCTTGTATTATGTTTGATTTTGTGAGACAAGACACAAAAATGATTGAAATGTCAAAAATTCCCTTGATAAAAAGAATATTTCAAAAATAAACTCATTTTTATGCCTCAACACGAAACCAACCATCTCTTCCTCACCTCTATGCATGGAAAACATGTTGTAATCCTTGCCTTGATCTTCTTTTGCCCTCCTCTACCTCCAAACCAACATATCTCTTCTCATTCCTATACTCCTAACCTTGCCGTAGTGATTAGCCTTCTTCTTCATCATTCCTTTCACCTTGAAACTTCTTTTGCCATGGTTATCCCTACTAGCACAGGGTCTTTAAACCAAAGCAAAATTGGTGCTCTCATGGTCAATAATCACACATAGAAATGCTATTTTCTTCATGGAGTTGTGTAACACCCTCTTTTTCAGTATTTGATAAATGAATGCTTTGTTTAATATTAAGTAGTATTAGAATGCATTTAGAAGTGAATTATGGGAATTTTGGAAGAAGTCTTCAAGCGAGCCTGAGTGCTCAGAACCACAAGATTTCAGGGCAATCTCGCTTAGGCGAGATGATTCTCGCTTAAGCAAAATATGATAAATTCAGCCTAATTGTCACTTTGCTCAGACAATAGGTGATCTCGCCCAGACGAGATGAGTCACTTAGGCAAGGACTCACAGGAAAAATGTCTAACTTTCTGGACATCATCTCGCTCAGGCAAGCTCGGTCTCACTCAAGCAAGCATATCAGGAAATGCTTGGCGAACCAACTGTCTAGTATTCTCGCTCAGGCGAGCTATACATTGCTTAGGTGAGCTGTTTGTCGCTCAAACAAGATATTTCTCGCTCAAGCGAGAGCACGAAGGGCTAAGGGGTATTTAAAAAATTTTCAGCATAAAAATTTCATTTCATTTCAAAACCTCACATTTCCTTCTCATTCTCTCTGAACTCTCACTTTCTTTACTCAGATAAAACTCCCTTAAACTCTGGTTACTCTTCAAATTTGAGCTAAGACGTTGAATCTAAACGACTCCAAGTAAGTTCTTATGGATTAAACTTTATTTTCTCTAATCGTTTTTCTTATTTTCCCTTTCTTACAGATACATCTTGGTACTCAGGAAAACTTTCGTGGTTGAACTCAAATCTTTATCAATATCTTTCCACAAACTTCAATCGAGGTAAAGAGAGATATATTTTATCGTTTTATTAAAATATTTATTTTGTGCTCATTGGAACACTATTATATCAGGAATTTTATGAAAATATATGTTTGAAATATATTATGCATGAATGATAGCTGAGAATATGCATGTTTGATTGTCTAGATTGATTGTCTGTAATATGTTCACATGAAATATGTGATGAGTGATCATGATGTGATAACATGAAATGTCTATATGAGTAGTTATGGTTGTGATAAAATATGATATTGGCTTGAAGAACATGATGTTTGAAAGTATATTGTAATGGTGTGAGTGAGATAGATTTAGTCTAAGAGTGCTTTACTAAGCATAATCTTGTGAGTAAAGAATGAAATGATTTCGAAATGACTATAAGTGTCGAATGGAATAAATCTAGTGTGTGAAAATCTGGGGAAAACATAGGGTGGTGAGCGACATTCGCGTATGTGTACACATTTTTTTAGAGCAAATGTGTCACATGGCCTCACACTCGTTTCCTGACTAGACTTCCAACTATACCTTTGCTAAATGGCCCGATTATTATATACATTGTATCCATGTACATGGACTAACCGACGACTATTAACCTAGTCGCGTAAGACCTTAAGAAATATTGGAGGCATCGATATCTGTGATCTCAGTGCACTGAGAGTGTGTATTAGAAAGAAAAATTGGATAACGTATAATAAATTGTTGAGTTGTGTATATGTGAATATATTTGCAATGTGAATGGGTTGTGAAAATGAATATATTTTCTTTATATTGCAACTATGATTTTGTGATGTAATAATTTGTAAATGATAGAATAAATGTTCATTCTTACTAATATTTTCAGAAAACCAGGATGACAAAGTATCAGGAAAGAATTAGGTTAATAAGTAGTTTTGTACAATGTAGGCTTAATTATATATTTAATGAATATCAGAGGACATGCCAATTTAAGTTGGCTATACATGTGAATGATGTACTTAGAAATATTATTATGTTAGAGATGGATCTATTTTATAGTATTTCCCTTTATTTTCTTGTAAGTAGAATATAACATACTTTGTATATGTATTTCTATAGAGGTACTGTTAGAATTCTAACAGCCTTCACATATCTATTTACATACCACAACCATGACCATCTTGAAAGGGTAACTCGAGTTACCAATGAACGAGTCATAGGGGTTGAGGTTATGTTCGACTCAGGGGATCTATATCTTAAATTAGATGATGATCTTGACTTCGAGGATTTTGGCAGAGATTGAGAGATGGCATGAGAATGACATATTGAGTCCTCAGTGTTGGAATATGTTTGAAGCTGCTTTGGACCTTTATTCATTTTGGTTATGTATTTTATGGGATTTCATGTATTTTGATAAATAGTTTGTAAATTATGGTAGTTGATATATATATATATATAACTCAGCACTTATATTTGTAAATTATTCCTAAACCATAATTTTATTTATTGTTATTGTAAAAATACTGATTTTATTTATAAAAAGATTTTAAGTTATTCGTATTTATAATATTTGTTGTACACATAAATTTGTACTTTATTTTGATCTTTTATATATATATATATATATACACACACGCACATATAGACTCAGTACTTATATTTGTAAATTATTCCTAGACCATAATTTTATTTATTGTTATTGTAAGAATACTAATTTTATTTACAAAAAGATTTTAAGTTATTCGTATTTATAATATTTGTTGTACACATAAATTTGTACTTTATTTTGATCTTATATAAACAAATAAATAGTTTAAAAATAAAAAAGTTAAGATGTTACAAGTTGTGCTTCTGATAGTGTCGTTGCTGCCTTTGTTCAATAGTTCATAGTAACAAGGTTAACCTTAATCCCTACTTATCTGTTTTGGACCAACATTTTTAGAAATTTTAAGAATTCAATCCCTTTCATCTCTTATTAAGTTGAAGTCTCTTCTTAATTTAATTTCCATTATCTTATTGCTTCAAGTAATTGAATTATAACTTTGATTTTTCTTGGTTGAGTTTCTCTTAACTTAATTATCATTGTTTCAATCCATTAAATATCTTAGAATTTATCAATAGCAGTTTTCATTTTCAATTATTACGAAGGACATTTTTATCATAGAAAAATTTAGCTTTCTGCCTCTAAAGCAAGAACTCCCTTCTTCTACAAAAGATATTAATGTGTCCTTCATTTTTATGTCTCTTAACTTATCTATATCTCCTCAATAAAATACTAACTAATTAAAAAATATGTACCTCTATGTTTGTGACTTAATATTTTTGTTCCTCAACCTAATGTTACTTTAATGTTAATTTAATATTTTAATTATATATAATGATTTATAACTATAATTGAATGTATTTTGATAACATTTTAATTAAAAAGATAAGTTATTTATAAAAGAAATTTATCGTAAAAATATTTTTTTTTTAAAATTAGTACTATTTTACATATATTATATATACATCCAAATGAGAAGAGAGGGCAAGCAAATCAGAAATGCACGTAGAATAAGGACATATGTAGTTTTATTTTTAATTATAAAATATATATTTTATTTTTAGTCTATTTATAAAATTTGTAAGGAATTATTGAATATATTTATTTTTTATTTTTACAATTTTTTATAAAATTTAAAAATATAAAATAAAAACAAAATAATAAATTTATAATTAGAATTAAAAAATAAAACACAGAAAATAATTTCCTTTAAAAGCGAGGAAGGGTGTAGCGTTCATTAAGATCCTCGTCATTGTTCACCTCAACAGAGGTAAATTACAATATGCAGCGTCCTCAACACGTACAACCTTCCTATTTCAACGTTCTCCCAAAATCTTCCACGCGTCCATCCTTTTATTTTTTTTAATAAAATATTAAAATAAAAACTCTTTAATTAATATTTTAATATAATCAATGCTTTTAATGAAATTTTTTTTAATTTAAATGTTTAAAATAAAGCAATAATCCAACGGGCCACGCTGCCCTGATTCGGATTTATTAGCATTAATACAAGCCGATCTTCTAAGCAACTAAATAAATAGGAAATTTTGTTAAAGAAAAAAAAAACATAAATAAGAATTTGAGTTAAAATTCGTTTAATAATTATCTAAAAATATATCTTATGTCATAATTTTAAGAATAAAATTTACTAAAATAAGTTAAAAAATTTATTTTAATAAATTATACTAAAAAGATTAAAATAAATTAAAAGTAATTTACAAAGTCATAGCTTATTTTTTGATTAATTTCAGTTTTTAGAGTTAAATTTCATTCTTCAATAATATTATTTTTTATAAAAATTATTTATTAAATTTTTACATTCTTAATTTTATTTGTTTAAAAATTGTATTTAAATGTTTAAATTTAGAACTGAAATTAATCAAACCAAAATAATTTTAACCCCTTAAACTTAATTTAATAATTATGTTAATTAATTACAATAGTTTTAGGTTTACGGACCGACTCAATCTTCCTAGAAATAAATTTCACCGAACAAGGTCGGATAAAATTAAATATATGTATGTAGTTAAGGGAAGTCAGAACATAGATGTTTATTTAAGCTGAAAGTTTTCATCAATTTCACAGCAAAATGCAGAAGCAAGAGGGCAGAGAAGAGGATTTAAGAGATGAGGCAACAAATAGTGAGAGAGAAGGAAGGAAAGAGAAGCCACCTCCATTAGTGGCTCTGAACCACGTTTCAAGGCTGTGTAGGAATGTGAAGGACTCCATAGACTTCTACACAAAAGTCCTGGGTTTTGTTTTGATTGATAGACCTCAAGCTTTGGACTTTGATGGTGCATGGTTGTTCAATTATGGAGTTGGTATCCATTTGGTGCAATCCAAGGTTGAAGATCAGAGATTGCCTTCCGATCCTCAACACTTAGATCCCCAGGACAATCACATTTCTTTTCAGGTATATATTAAATAACATGTATATAATGAGTCTTTTATTCTTTATTCTAAAAATTAGTGTTTTATTGGTTAAACAAATGAATATTTTTAATTATATAAGTAAAAACTAAACTATTTTAGATATTTTGATGTGGATGGCAATTTCCGATCGTGAATTGTACGTTAGTGTGAAGATATGGAAGCAATGGAGAAAAAATTAAAGGAAAGGAATGTGAGGTACATGAAAAAGACTCTGAAAGCAGAAGATGGAACTGTAATGGATCAAATTTTCATGAACGACCCAGATGGGTTCATGGTGGAAATATGCAACTGCGAGAATCTGAAACTCGTTCCTGCAGATTCGCTAAGCAAGATAAAGCTCCCAATGGATCGCCACAACCCACCCGTTGAGATTGGAGACACATCAAAATGACCATGAACGTGAACGTGAAAGTGAAAGTGAATGAGGCAGAAGAACATTCTTCCTCATGTTTGTTTGTTTCTGATCAGTATAAAATTTTTCAAACGGTTCTTCTTTCTTTCTGATCAGGTCTTTGTATTTGGAGCAAGCTTCACCCAGGGTTGCTTTCTTAGGTTTCAATTTCACAGTGTGTTTGTACCCATAAGAACGTGAAAGTGAATGAGGAAGAAGAACATTCTTGAGTAGAACGTTGTTAATCTCTGAAATTTCATTAGTTGAAAACAAAAACACAGGCTCAGGCAGGACCCAATCCTGAGGTCATGATCATGCTGTCCCTTTTTACTGGTAGCACTGTCGCCGTGCACACTTTTAAGGAACTGCAAATAGGAAAACAATTATAATTTTTTTTATTTCAAATGTACTAAAACAAATCAAATTATTATTTTTAAGCATGCAGCTATTTAAAATCATTTTAAAACTCATGTTGTATAAATAAAACAATATTTTAATTGAAATATGTTGATTATGTAAAAATATTAGTCATATTATCAATGAATTATATTCTCATATCAGAATTTATCCTTAACTTTTATGTAAAAATAATATGTTTAAAATTGAATAGGCTGTTGAGTTAGTCCTTGTATTTTAATCGTTAATTCTTTTTAAGTCTTGTTTGGTTATTAGTTATGAAAAATATTATTTATTTTACTTATTTATTTTTTATTTCAAAATAAAATCTTCTTTCTAAAATTAATAACAAATAATGTGTTATTAAAAGTTTAGAGACGAATTTTAAGTCTAAGAAAAATAATTATGAATGTAATAAATGTCAAAAAGGAAATTGGGAGGAACTATTTATAATGTATTAAATGTAATTCTAAGTATGCTTTATACTTAACTAAAATATAGTTAAAAATAATAATACTTTTTAAAATTAAAAACACAGTAAAATATTTATTTAATATATGGAAATCATATTTGATATCAATTAGTGTCTTAAAATTATAATATTAAATATGTTTCAAATAATAATAACATAATTATTATTTATATAATTTTAAACATTTAAAAACTTAATATGACACATATTTAAAAGACTAATTTAATACTTAAATATTATAAACAAACTTGATCTTTAATAAAAAAAATTGATATATATATATATATATAAATATAAATATTTCATAAAATGTAAAATTTATCAATTAATTTAAAACTTTAAACCATCTTACTCTCCATATATATAATAATTAATTTATAAAATCAATCATGTCTGTCTGATTAAAAAATCATGATATATGCACTATTTAATGAAATTAATATCAGATATAATTTCTTTTATAATTTAAAACTCATAAAAATTTAAATAAAATGCTTATAATTTTTTTATTTTTTTTATTTTAAACATGATTTAATTTTTTATTATAAGGAATTTTATTTGAGACAAATAATAATATTATAAAATTTTTCTTCTATTCACTAATTATTATTATTAGAATATTTTTTATAAATTTAAAATATTGTGTATTTAATAATTTTGTAATTGAGAAACAAACAAACATTTGATTAATATACATTTACGGTGTAAGTATAACAATTTTTTAAAATAAAAATATTAAAAAAATATAACAATAAAAAATAAACAATAAATTTGATTAAACTCAAATGTATAATGGTTACTCAGATAATTATCAGTGAAAATTTCATAATAAAATAATTAACTCATTTATCATAATCAAGTCAATTCAAACAAGTTAATGTCAATTAAAATACAATATATTAACAATTTTTTAAAATTTTAATAATTAAGCAATTATAAATATATTTCAACACAACTATTAATTTAATTACACGCTCGCTACCATTTTTTTTAAAATTTAATTAAGATTAGAGGCCAAAGGAATGGCATCATAATAATTATAAAATGAAAGTAAGAAGAGAGAATTCTAATCTCACAATAATTTCATCCGATTGCCTGGAAATGCACCGTAAATTGCCTCATACAATACCACACGTGTCAATCGTTAATTGCAGGAGCCACGGATTCACGAAATACCTAGCGGGAGTTAATAATCTAGTGCAACGTGTACTCATACACCGCTCCATAGAGGCGCTTAAAGGGTTGTACGTTTCAGACAAGACTACCCTTACAAAGCCCAAAACTGCGACGCAGAGCAAGTGTATCTATTTACTCTCAGAACAGAAATTCAAACAACGCAAAATTAAATTGTAGAAAAACGTAGAGAGAGGAAAAAAAAAAAGAGAAGAACAACAACTGAGAGAGAGAGAGAGAGAGAGAGAGTGGTTCTTAACACTCTCGCATTCCGCAGATCAGATCCAAGCATTCCGAATTCCTAGATCCATTTTCGCTCTCCATCAGCACTCGAACTTCAGATTCGCGATTTCAATTTCGTGTTTTCGGCGCAAGTAGGTTTTCGGAGATCGAATGGCGTGCATCAAAGGGGTAAATCGATCGGCGTCGGTGGCGCTGGCGCCGGATGCACCGTACCTGGCCGCCGGTACCATGGCAGGTGCCGTTGATCTGTCCTTCAGCTCATCCGCAAACCTCGAGATATTCAAGCTCGATTTCCAGTCCGACGATCCGGAACTGCCACTGGTCGCCGAGTACCCGAGCTCCGACCGCTTCAACCGTCTGTCGTGGGGGAAGAACAGTTCTGCCTCCGAAGGTTTCGCTCTCGGTCTCGTTGCAGGTGGATTGGTCGATGGGAACATTGACATCTGGAATCCTCTCACTCTGATCCGGTAATTAGACCCTTCTCTTATGCGCGTTGGTTTTGTTTTCTTATTGGAAATGGCTTGCGTTTGGGGAGATTGGAGTTTCCTAGGGTTGTGGTTGGATTGCAGAATTTGGAACTCGGCTGAATGGATGGTTTTGATGGATTGTGAGATGAATCAAATTCAATTTCGAGTTGATGATTTCTCATTGATTATTTTTTGTGTATAGTGCAGTTACAATTTTCATATGGTGCTTGAGGCTTGCTTTGATGTTGTAAGCTAGAGTAGGAGTTTTGGTTAATACGGATGCATCGTATATTATATACAATTTGCATTTCCCTTTTGCCATTTACCTATTGAAGAAATAAAGAAAGATTTTATCAGGATGAATGAGAGAGAACAGGTGGGGAGGTAATGTATCCTCCTAAAGTATCAATTTAAAAGAAACAATAAAAGAAATACATCAAGTGGAAAGAGCTACCCAACCACTTTGTTAATGGAGAATGAGTTGTTTATTCTTTTGGTAATCCTTCTAGTGCTTATATGCTGTTCGTTATTTGTTGGAAGTTTTAGGGTTGTGCAGCTTTATGTTACTGCCCCTTCACCCCACTACTGTGTGGTGGTCTCTTTGGGTACGTAAGTTGCAGAAGAAGAATAGGAGATTGTGGTTTCCTAATAAATTTATAAATTGTGATGATTGAGTCCCGCGATTTTCACCCTTTCTGCAGAGTTATTCAAATATATATTTTTTTAAAATTCGATGTCAGACATATTTTCCCCAATTCTGAGTCATGCTTGCATTTCAAATTTTCTAATTTGAGCTATTAGATGGTTGCCTTGTCTGTCGATGCAAGTAAAGGATGATCTTATATTGGCGGCCGTTTATTTCTAATCTTTGCTAACTCAAAATCAAGTTTCCTTCAAATTATAACACCATGGAGTGGTTGTCATGAAATGGAGAAAGTTGGTAATTTCTGTTGGAAATAAATAAATACTGCAACATTGATAAAATATTTAATGATTCTGAAAATTTCAGTTCATAACATAATTGATTCAAGTTATTGTTTTAGTTCATACAGTTTTTTCTTTGCCTATTCAATTTTTTTTTTCATTACTTCTCAGCTCGGAGCCAAATGAAAGTTCTCTTGTTGGACACCTTGTAAGGCATAAAGGACCAGTAAGTTCTCCTTTGCCTTTATAAGCTGACCTGGTGAATTTTAATTGTTCTATGTTCTCAAGCATTGTTTGCTTACATTTGAAATCCTATCTTTGACATTTTTATGTTTCAGGTTCGTGGACTTGAGTTTAATGCTATTGCACCAAATCTTCTTGCTTCTGGGGCTGAGGATGGTGAAATTTGCATATGGGATTTGGCCAATCCCTCAGAGCCTACACATTTTCCCCCACTAAAGGTCAGGGATTGTCCTTGAAAGTGTTTTTAGTATACCTCCACCCTTGCTTTTATGGATTAAAACATCTTCAAATATCTGTCTCTGTAATTTAATAATTTTTACACATAATGCATATCATCATGGTGCAGGGTAGTGGCTCTGCTTCCCAGGGAGAAATTTCATTCTTATCCTGGAACAGTAAAGTCCAACACATATTGGCATCCACTTCATATAACGGGACCACCGGTGAGGAGGGGATTTAATCCATCTTTTATATCTGTTCTCAGTGTTGTATGTTTGGTGGAATACTTGATTTTTTTTAATTTTTTTTTTGGTTTTATTTTTCCAGTGGTTTGGGACCTAAAGAAGCAAAAGCCAGTGATAAGGTATGGTTTCCATGCCTTTTGCCTTTTGCTTCCGAGAGAATTTTGGCATCTTATTACCAAAAAAGTGATAATCTTTATGAATCATGTGAACTGGCAGCTTTGCAGATTCAGTTAGAAGGCGGTGCTCAGTTTTGCAGTGGAATCCTGATGTTGCGACACAACTTGTTGTTGCATCAGATGAAGATGGCTCTCCTTCTTTGAGGGTATAGTTGCTGCTGATTGATTGTCTGTTTATTTTAATGGTAGTGTTTATTGACCTTATATGAGCATGTTGATGCAGCTTTGGGATATGAGGAATATAATGACACCGATAAAGGAGTTTGTGGGACACACTAGAGGTAATGACACCTGTTAATTTGTTTATAGTTCTTATGGCAGTCTCTGTCTACCTTGTTGCACTGTCAATGCTTCCTTTTCTTTTTGTTGTATTTTTCTTAATTCCCCTTCTCCGATCCACTAAGAAAAAAACGTGGGAAATAAGTGACCGAGAATTGTTAGCTGTGAAACAACAGTTCAGGATAGATCTTTAAAGT